AGTACCTCAGACTTATCCATTTCAGGACAGACATGATTACTGATTTATTATTTTGCTAGCACGAAAAATACATTATAATTTAGTATGGGAGTGTATATGAGCACAGTCATTGTAATTATTGTTGAATGTAGATCTAATTTACAGCCTGTAACTACTCCCCCGGGGCGGTGCCACTGATTGTAGTGTCTTTAGGCCATTCCCAAAGGGGGACATTTCTCGTTCAAGCACAGTAGAATTGTAAATGGGCTGATTCATGTCATGCTCATCTGTGCCTGATCTACAACAGTAAACTTCTGCTTTTTATTTCCTATTACTTACTATTGTCATTTTCCTCTACTTCTTTTGTATGTTTGTCATCTTACGACCAATTTTAACTAAACATCGAACAAATAAAATTCAGTCATGGGGGCATCACATTTGCCAATATGATTTGTAAGACAATCTGCCAGTCTGTTTGAGAAATATCAAGTTAAAAAATGTTCAATCAAATTTGAGTGAAACTCAACACTTTGCCATCTCTTGAAAATCACATTGTAATTCGCGCATTGAAGAAACATTTTATAAAATTGATTTGGCAAAATAAACGTAGGGGAGGTGGCAGCTATTTCATTGTATCATTTTGTATGATCCTGGTACTGATTATTTAGAAGTTCTTCTGGACAAGGTTGCGGGTTCGGGGGTTAGAACCGCGGGCCCTACGTTGTGTCCTTGTGAAAGGCACTTTACACGAATTTTCCTCACTTCACCCACGTGGGAATGGGTACCCGCCCATAGACAACGAAAGATCTTGTCAGTATGTTTGTGTTTTAGCGCCTATAAATGGCTGCTTGCACTGTATGCTTCCCAGGAAGATGAGGTTGCTTCAGAATGCTCTCGGGTCTGCTGGGGTAAAAGTATAAATCGTGAAGCGCATAGAGCTTGCTGTCGAGCGGGGATTTGTGCAATACAAATGCTACCTATTGTTATTAATACACCCCACTTGAAATTTCTAATAAATATAACCCTGTGGAATGGTTCTGTAGACCTCCTGTTCAACATTGAGTTTCAGCGGTTCAGTGTGGATTGTAACTGTTTCCTTGCATACTGTCATTATAAATCTTTAAGGAAATAATCTAGGAATCCAGGGGGTTTACTAGGCTAATTTCGGAACTTATTAATTATATCATGACAATATAGTGTTGCAAGTGCTGTAAAATGCTTACTACTAAAACTTGATCACACCAGAAATTTGCCCACTGAGCAAATGAAATGGGTATCATGAATACAATTCCGAGTTTAATACTGTCTTTATGGTATGCTGTCTTCACCAGGCCTGTGAACATTTTTTTTCCTCAATGAAATGACAAGATTTGAACTGTTGATCTGACACGAAGTCTGCGAGGCCTCGTGGGAAGAAGCATGTGTGCAGACCTTAATCTCAAGGGCAAAAGAAGGCTTTCATCTTTTGGCTGTCTCCACTATGTAGCGCGCACTGTGAACTGTTGAGTGTACGTGCCTTAGCTGTTTAGTGTATATATACGTGCCTTCGCTGGTTGGTGTGCATGCGAATTGTGTACACTAATGAGAACTGTGTACCAAGCCCTAGATGTAGACCATATTGGCATTTTGCCATCTGTCAGCTTGTCCTGAGGCTCGTGCCTTGCGTCATTCTTGTTTTTCTGTCCTCCCTCTCCGCTTTCCCATATCGTGTTTTGTGTCCGTCTGTTACATATCCACATTTCGCAAGGTAGAAAGTGTTTGTTATAATTTGTGTATGGCATTGTTCTGAAATCAGACGCTAGTCAAAATAGACTAATTAATTTTAAGAAATTTCATTTTTCAGCTCGCTGGGAAATTTTTTTTCCCTTCGGGCGGGAGGGGGTCGCTCATTGGTCGATTAAAAATTTTGTGCAGATTATACTAAACAATGATCTTACTTACTTTACCTACTTTTTCATCCTCTGTTGCCGTTAAGCGTCGAGGGGAGATGCAGTTTTCTATGGTAGGCCAGCTCCGCAGCTCTTTCAGTTGTGATGTTATGTTTTCTTAGGGTTTCCTTGACACCCTCGATCCACCTTTAGCGTGGCCTTCTTCTTCCTTTATAGCCTGAGTGCTTGGTGTTGTAAGCTCTCAAGGCTGGCTGGTCAGGTGACATGCGTAACAGGTGGCCAAACCATTTTATCCTCTGTCTTTCTATGTAACGCAGGCAGGACTCAGTGCCGATAGCTGCTCTTACTTCTTCATTTCTCTGCCTGTCTCGTCTTGTGATGTTAAGGGTTTTGCGGAGACATTTCATTTCGCATGCGGTGATTTTGCTTTCCTGGGTTTTGTTTAAGGTCCAGGTCTGGCACTGATAACATAATGTTGGTATGAATATTGAGGTGATAAGCTGTCTCTTTGTGTCCATGGAGATGTTTGGATGAGATAGAAAAGGTGCGAGCTGGTAGGTGACAGCATTGGCTTTTTGAGTTCGCATTTCTTTTTCTCTGTCTATGGACCCGTTTTCAGAAAAAGTGCTGCCAAGATATTTAAACTCTTTCACCTGTTTCAGTTGTTTACTATTGACATGGATGTTCAAGGGACTATGGTTTCGGCTCACTTTCATTACTTCTGTTTTTGATGTACTTATTTTCTTGTTGAATTTCTCACAGGTGTTGTTGAGTTCGGTAGTGTGATTTTGGAGGCTTTGTTGGTCATGATGAATTAGACATTGGTCGTCTGCGAACAGAAATTCATTTAGGCTTTCTGGGCTTTGGTTTGCTTCTTGCGTTATTGTGTCCATATATATTATAAACAAGAGGGGAGATAGAACGCATCCCTGTCGTACTCCAGATCTTACTTTGAACCAGTCTGTATTTCCTTCCTTTGTTCTTACTGAGCTTCTGCTGTTGGTATATAGAGCTCTGACATTATCTAACAATGATCTAAAACATAAAAAAATGTAAATTTGCAGTTTATACAAAGACACCTAAACTTTGGAAATCCTTTTTTTTTTTTTGGTCATCTTACCTCTGGCACCAGGCGACTTCCCACCTCCTTCAAATGTAAATTTTTTATGATCTTGACTTTCATTCCAGAAAGATGGGTATTTTTTTTTATCTATAGCAAGTCAAATGAACAGGCTTTGACTTTAAGATTATATCAATTGATATCTGCATATGTCTAAAAATTGATGCGGGTAGTTGGAGAGTGCCATTTGTAGTGTCTTACTTCTTTTTTTTTCTCTCTCTGTTGTTTCAGTCTGTCTGTCGTTTTCCCTGCACTAATGTGTGTGTCGAATATATGTTTCATCTTTATTTTAACGAACGAAAATTAATGAGCACCTAATTCCACCGTGTCGTGACATACTTGATGATTTCACACTGACTGACTCGTGGGTGGTTGGTGGGTGCTCTGGTTTGATTTGGTTCTTCTTTCCTATCAAACATCTATACCCCCTGGGGCTGTGCCCCTGACTGTAGTGTCTTTAGGCCATTCCCAAAGGGGGGACATTTCTCGTTCAAGCACAGTAGAATTGTAAATGGGCTGATTCATCATGTCACACTCATAACTGTGCCTGATCTGCAACAGCGAACTGCGGCTTTTTCTTTCCTAATCCTTACTATTGTCATTTTCCTCTATTTCTTTTGTATGTTTGTCACTCTCTTGTGACCCGCTATTTCCAGGGTGCCTTAATAGTCGAAGCAGACCTTGTGCTGTTGAAGCTAGAGAGGTGAGCAGAGTAAGTCTGATTCCCTCTAAAGACTTCTCTGTTGACACCCACCCCTTGGCGCTCATATGACCTTTTATGCAGTTGGGAGCGCCGTAAAACCCTCTGCTAAAAAAACCCCCAAAAAACATCTAACGTCTTTATCTCCCCTCCTTTTTTGTGTTTGTTACTCTCTTGTAACACCTCTAATCTAAGGTCTTATATGACCTTATTGTGTTACAAGTGCTGTAAAACACTTACTAAAAAACCCCAAAAAAACTGAGTGACTCATCATACACAAGCTGCATTCTGGTCTTTTTGTCTGATAGTTTGACTTCGTGTCCCCCCCCCCCCCCCCCCGATCCTCCTCCTTGGCTTACTTTCCCAACAGTAGATTATAGAGATTATTAACGATAGTGGTTGTTAATTCACTGCTTTCCGTTGCTTTTTTTTTGTTAATAACCTATAATTGTCATAAAACTGTCAAGAGTTTATTCTGCCATTTTGGAAAAATATTGATTTGAAAATCTTGCCTTGGCGAACCTTTTTTTTAGCGAAACTACCAAGTTGTCTTTATTGTTTGAAGCTTTACAAAGACTGCTGAGTTATTTTTAGCCTAATAATAGAGAGGACAAGGTGCTAGGTGTGAACAAACCCTGAGATAATAAAGACCTCAAAAATTATTTATATCAATTGACTTGTACAGAGCCACAATGGACAAATTACTTTGTCTTGAGAATTGACTACCTTCCCTAAGACTGCCAGTAAACCCAGCTGTCTGACGGAGTGTCAGGTTTCAGTCTGAAGCCATGCCTATCACTTTCACAATATTATGCATCAACCAGGGACAGGTCACGGTTTTGTCCAGTGACTTAAGAAGGACTGTGATTAGGTCAGAACACCTGAGAAGGCATAGAGTAATGAGAGAGATAAGGAGGTTGACCTACATATGACATGTCAAACTGTACAGTCCAGGTAGTGGTATCAACTGGCCCAAGGACTTGAGCTAGCTGTTGGTATAACAAACTGGTCTCACTGCTGTCACCATAAGAATAAATTTTGCAGTGTTAGATTCACCTTGGATTATATTGTTGCGGTGTTGCAAGTTTCCAGTTGTTGTTTGTGTGTGTGTGGGGGCTCTGTGGTTGAATGTAGATTTTAAAAAGCTTGTCTCTTTTCAGTGAGAAAGTTGTTTCTGACATTTCCTCATATCATTTGTGATTTTCTTTCATTTGATGTAGAGTCATCTATTTATGGTGTTTGACTCTGTGGTTTGAATTTTTTTAAATTTTCAATTGTTATTATTATTAGCTCTATACATTTTTTTTTTCAGATTCCCTTAATTTTTTATCTTCTTCCTACGGCCTTTGACGTGAGACACAGACTAGATTTTCAACAATGAAGCTCAGCGACATGGCACGACTCGTTCATCGTTCTTGTGCCCTGGTTAAGGGAAATTTTGTGTCGAGATCAAATCTGCTTTCCAAAGACACTGTGCTTTTTAATCATAGAACATTCCTGACCCTCAAAAACTTTTCAGTATCGAGTAAATATCATTCAAAATGTGGCCTGCACTGTCGGAGAAATGGAGCTTTGTCAGCGGGCTCCATCAACAGTGAGACTACGTATAAAAGTAAACCTTCCCTCCTGCCAGTGGTGAGGAGGAACTCTGTGTTTGCCGGAGGTGTCTCCCTGGGTCCCAGGGTGTGTCTGATCAAAGCTGCCAGATCTTTCCACTCCTCTCGTCATGACTTGGCCCAGGAAGTGTCGAAGCTTCGTGTGAACGGGAACGACGAGTGTGTGGAGGTGACCGTTGGTCAGCAGGTCCTGAGGATCCCGTTTGTTTGGCTTCGAGACCACTGCAGGTCGGAACGGTATTACAATCACGCCACCTACCAGAAGAACCCGGACGCTGAGCTCTTGGAACGGGACCTTGTGCCAGACGAGCTGTCAGTGACGGACGGAAACTCTGGATTAAGGATCACATGTAAGGCAACTTTGAAACATTGTTTTTAACACTTTGCCATCACAAGGTTTATAGTAAAAACCCTTGCCATTAAAGGCAGGGTGGTAAACATCGCAGATCGACGTTTTGTGACGGGAGCGAAAGTTCGGTATTCTTTCCAATCGGCGAGATGTGACGGCAAAGTGCTAAGTGCAAAACAAAGGTCATGTACTGGTGTCTGTGGTGTGGTGGTTAGGCTCTTTGTGGTGTGGTGGTTAGGCTCTTTGTGGTGTGGTGGTTAGGCTCTTTATTGTCGCACACAGGAGACTCAAGTGGGGAGAATGTTTTTGGAGTATCTGTTTGTTTCTGCTGGGATGTTATATTGGGTCGGAAGCCCACCCTCTTAATGATCTAAAATGTATGGATCAGCACCTGACAAAATGAAATTTAATTTTAAATATTTGGTTGTTTTTTTTGTTTTTTCTTTTTAAAAAAATAGGTCAGTCATAACTATGTGGGCTCAACCTTTTTTTGTAGTCGTCTTGTATCTCATGGTCTGGTTGGGGGGGGGGGGGGGGGCTGTCAGTCCAAGGGGTACCAGGTGCTCTTGTCATTTAGACTCAGAGGGGACCAGAGCTCAGTGGTTTAAAACTTAAGTGTTAAACATGACTTAAAAGGAGTATGGGTTGGGTCCGAGGATGTTTCTTATGCACCCTGTTCCGACCTCCTTGTGTACATTTCCTTGCTCTTTAGAGTCAGTGGACCAGGCTCACAGGGTTATGAAGGAGAGTTAAGGGCTGTTGGGGGAGGGGGGGGGAGGAACTCTTGCTCCCTGTTAAAATTAATTGTTTTCAGTTAGTCAGTAGTGTTAATATTATCCCAATCTTTTGGTGCTGAAATGTAGTCATTATTGATGTTCAAGTGTTAACTTTATAGTAACAGTGACTTATCTCTTTCAATACTCCTCTCCTTTACTTCAGGGAGAGATGGTCACACGTCAGAGTTCTCGGCAAAGTGGTTGCAGGAAAACTTCTTCCCAGGGCGGGCGGGCGGCGTGGCTGGCAGGCGTCTGTGGAACAGCGCAGACATCCAGTCGGAGCTTCCTCGCGTCTCCCACGCCGAGCACATGGAGTCTGAGGCTGGTCTGAGGAAAACCCTGTCCAATCTGATCACTCACGGCATCTGCCTGGTGGATGGGGTGAGTGCTTTGAGTTTATGAGTTTAGTAAAGTGGATGGGGTGAGTGGTTCAAGTTTATGAGTTTAGTAAAGTGGATGGGGTGAGTGCTTCGAGTTTATGAGTTTAGTAAAGTGGATGGGGTGAGTGCTTTGAGTTTATGAGTTTAGTAAAAATGGGTGGGATGAGTGCTTTGAGTTTGAGTTGGGTAAAAGTTTTGTGACTCTCGCAACTGCATATGGTTGTAGGAATGTGTGGGGGCACAAATACGTTGTTTTCATTGTAGTTCATAACATGGCTTTGTTTTAATTTGCATGTTATAAATAATGGTGAAGTGTCTAAAAATACATTGTAAAAGTTCAGAGGCAGCCATTTTCATTTTTTAAATTACACTCTTTAGGTCTTGGGGTGAGTACTCCATTGAAAAGATCCAATAATACAAAATAATCTGAAATCAGGTATCAGACTATACTTTGTGCTTTTATTTTGGTAGATGTTTTACAACACTCGTAACTGCATAGAATTACCTACTGACAGACTTGTCATAAAACTCTGGCACACAAAAAGATAGTATTCCATGTAATTAATTAGTAGCTAGTCCGTCAGTCCCAGATGACCAATACATCCGCAGCGGAGAATATTTCTCCAGTGCAGTAGAAACGTTAGAAGAATTAAAGGTTAGATAACTTGTGGCTTTGTCTGTGGCCAAGGAGGCCAATTGTAACACAGAAAAGTTTGCCACATCTTGAACATATATTCCACCTAACATCTCAGATTATTCTGGTTTTTAATCCCTCCAGGCCCCGGCATCACTGGACGGCACACAGGCGGTAGTGGAGAGGGTGTGCTTTGTTCAACGTACCATTTTTGGAGAAATGTGGAGCTTCTCGTCCAACGCGGCGCGAAGTGACACCGCGTACACGGGGATTGCTCTCGGGGCGCACACGGACACAACCTACATGGACTTACCTGCTGGGTACGTGAGTGTTGAGACGTTATGCTGGTTCCTGTGGAAGATACAGCGGAACTTGCTCTTATGGCCAGAGACATTATTATATAATGACGCTGTTTAACACAGCCACTTTTCTCGTAGAGACAGTTCGGACTGTATTTCTGCTGTTCCTTTCTCTTAGGACAGATACAGCTAATTTTCTGCACTGTCTGGATATTTTATTGGCCAGCCTAACTGTAGCTGTTCCCTTATCTAATTTCACCTTTCCTCTATCCCTGGGGTACAGGCAAACCTTTTGGGCTCACCATCTTATTTTTAAAAAATGAAAAAGATTATGGTACTGTGAATTGCTCTGGGACATAAATGGGGGGGGGGAGTGTGATGGTGTGTCACCTTAAGAAGTGTCTTCATATTCAAACTTTGTTCTTAGATCTTGAAAAAGCATTCTGTTTGACCATGTAATTTTTACTGTCCTCTAAAAGAGAAAGCAGCTGTTTGTATTGATCTCGTTTATGGAGATTTGTGTTTCTGCAAAACTGCCTCAGTAATCCTGACAGAAGAGTTGTTTGTCCTGTTCCTCTCTTCAGCATCCAGGTGTTCCAGTGTTTGGAGCACAACGGCAGCGGTGGGAAAACGCTTCTCGTCGACGGCTTCAGGGCTATCGAGGAGCTGCGGCAGACGAACCCGGAGGCGTACGATGTGTTGTGTCGGGCGGTGGTGCCTCACGAGTACGTGGAAGACCCCTGCCCACACAGCCCTGGGTACCACCTGCACAGCCTGGGTACGGTCATACAAGCACACCCGGCGTCAGGGGAAACTATTCAGCTCAGGTGATTTATTAATTAATTTTTTTTTACTACTTATTTTATATTTTTTGTTTCATCTTCCTGACAATAATCAGCTATCAGATGTGGTGTAAGTGTAAACGTTCTTATGATTAAATGATGCTTTGATGAGTTGTCACGTTTGTAATTACAATAATTATAAGTTGCTTGCTGTTATTTCTGTACTTTTCTTTCATTACTATTACTATGGTAATTACCTGCACGGTGCCAAAAATGCTGCTGCTGTAAACTTTGTTAGCGTTGTAGACTGTATTCTTATGAATAATTCCACATTTATTTTGTACAGAATTTCAGACACAGGGGTGCACATTTTAATGCATTGGATGAAGCAGACAGATGAAAACTTTGCAGCAACTGACAAGAGCAACAGATAGTTATGGTTGTCAACAGGAGGACACTGTCAACACCAGGACGCTAAAACTTACTTTTATCAACGTGACTTGTTCTGTGTGATAACTTCAAACAGTCGAAAATGGTGTATAACAAGATAGTTCACTCCTTTCTTTGAGCCAATTAAAGAATTGTCCTCAAAATTCAGTGGCGCCCTCTTCGAAAAAGCGCGGACTATGCGAAGTTACCCTGCTTGTGTGAAAAACGGTAAAAGTGAAACTAATAGACTGTGCTATTCCTCTTCTTCTTCAGGAGAAACGAAAGAGAGTTTCAAAACAAAAACTGCCGCGCCATCTGAAGCAATGCGGTTTACAAATTTTTGGTTGAATGAACCACTATCACCATTCCTCTTCATATTGGCAGTCGACTGGCTGATGAAAAGAACCACCAGAGGACACAGAAATGGTATACAATGGACACAAGATGACAATTTGGATTTTGCAGACGACTTGGCGCTTCTGTCGCACACCCAGGAACAGATGCAAGCAAAGACTTCAGTATTAAACAGCCTATCGGAGTCTGTTGGATTGAGGATCCACCCCGGAAAGTCAAAGGTCCTAAGGACAGATGCACAATGAAAGGAGCAGGTTACAATAGAAGGAAATGCACTTGAAGACGTTGAATCCTTCTATCTTGGGAGTATCATTGACAGAGAGGGAGGAACAGGTGCTGAATGTTGTGAAATAGATTCCCGCATTGAAAAAGCACAGGCTGCTTTCATATCTTTGGATAGGATTTGGAAGACCAGAGATATCTCACCACGAACAAAGCTGAGGATTTTCAGTTCAAATGTGAAGTCGGTCCTGTTGTATGGATGTTAGACATGGAACGCGTCACAGACTTGCATAAAGAGGATCCAGGTTTTCTTGAACAGGTGTCTGACAGGGTCACCAATGTGGAAGTGTTAAGGAAAACAAGACAGATCCCAGTCAGAGATGAGGTAGGAAGAAGGTGGTGGTGATGGATTGGCCCTACTCTCAGGAAGTCAGGCAGCTGCATAACAAAGAAAGTTTTGGATTGGAATCCACAGGGTAAGAGATCAAGGGGAAGACCGCGTGTAACCTGGAGAAGAATCACAGAAATCGATGTACAGAAAAGTGGGAAGACATGAAATAACATCAACAGGCTAGCCCAGGATAGAGAAAGGTGAAAGGTGTTTGTCCGTGGCCTATACCCTGGTGCAGGGTGAGAAAGGCAATGATGATGATGAACCATCTTGTTATGTACGATCTTTCTTTTATACAATTGACTCCGCGTGTGTTGAACTCACTTGAGTTGATCTTCGGTTAAGTTTGTCCTTTTCTCAGATCCCAATGATTTAGTTGAACTTCAGATGAATTGATCTATTTTTTACTCCCCCGACGACCTCAACTCATCCGTAGTCAACTGTAACATAACAAACATTTGTCTTTTCCTCTCCTCTAGGTTCAACCCTTACGACCGAGCTCCGTTGAACACGGTGGCCCCCGAGTCACTTGAGCAGTTCTACCGCGCCTATGACCAGCTGAGCCGCATCATCGCGAGGAAAGAGGGCGAGCTGTGGGTCAAGTTGACCCCGGGCACGGTCCTACTGGTGGACAACTGGCGGGTCATGCATGGTCGGTCCGCCTACGACGGTCACCGGGTCATTTGTGGCTGCTACCTGCCCCGCGACGAGTGGATCTCCAAGGCCAGGGTGATGGGCTTGCTGTGAGTCGGCAACGAGCTGAGATGGATGAAACGTGGTCATCTTCAGTATGCAACTAAAGGAAAGAACTTTGAATATTGCCCGACTTTATCATCCTTCTCATGTTGCTATAATAAGTTCCTGTGTTCCAAATGAAACTTTTCCATCGGTTATCATGGTTGTTCTGATTTTGAAAATGTCTGATAAGTTGTCACAGAAGATATTGTGGATTGGGTTTTGACTTTTATTTTTCGTATGCATTTCATTTTCCCAGTTTTAATGGGAATTTTTCCTTTCCATTATTTTGGAAACTTCCAGTTTCCTTGTGTTTTACGCAATACTTTATTTTACCTGTCAAGTGTACCTGCTCTTGTGATTTGTATGCGTATTTCTGTTATAAAGGTTCCGCTCATATAAACACTTTATCAGCAACAAACCCCTATGACACAGATTCAAAATTATCGGAGGAATCTTAACCCTTTGAGAGGCGAATTAATTTGCACTGTCCAGTCCCCCAGAGGCCAGTTAATCTGAAACTTCATGAAAATTAGGGTGGGTCATGAGAAAATGCTTATTTCCTTATTTTTTAAAATAGAAATTTGAATCAAACATCATTGAACTGGAAACTGAATGAAAAAAAAACATGTGAAACAAAATTTTGATACAAAATTTGTTTAAGATTTGCTTTAGTTGTTCGTCAATGTGTCTTTGTGTGTGTGTTAGTAATGACCTTGTGGTGTCAAATTTCTCCTTGTGTGATACAGTTCACAACTTTTACCATTGGTTAAGGGTCACAAACTTCTCGTGGGTGGTTGGTGGGTGCTCTGGTGTGGTTTGCTTCTTCTTTCCTATCAAACATTTGTCGTCTTTATCTCCCATTCTTCTTTATTATGTTTGTTACTCTCTTGTAACACCTTTAATCATCTGGCACTCATATGACCTTATGCAGTTGCAAGCGCCGCAAAACCTCTACTAAGTGGGTGATTGGCGGGTGGTGTGGTTTGCTTCTTCTTTCCTATCAAACATCTATCGTCCTTATCTCCCCTCCTTATTTTTTATGTTTGTTACTCTCTTGTAACACCTCTAATCTTCTGGCGCTCATATGACCTTATGCAGTTGCAAGCGCCGTAAAATCTCTACTAAAACTAAACTAAAACAAACTTCTCCCCTAAACACTGCTTGGCCATCTGGAATAACGTCATCGCCTTCCCTGTCACTACTATCCAGATAAAATGCGTTGAACAGGTTGTGAACGTTCATATTTGCAACCATTTCAGATTCGATCGTCTTCCTTTGTGACCAATGCAAACAAATTCCTAGACTGTTCATTTTCTATTCCTATTCTAGGTCGAAATTTTTGTTTGGGGCAGGAAATGCTAGGAAAATCTTCCTAAAACCCTTGTTCACAATCACGACAATAGTCACGATAGCCTCTGAAGGACAGTCAGGGCATCACGGCAATAGTCGCGATTGGATTAAATAGTTAACTGGATTAAAGTCTTTGCTCAGATTTTCCCTGAAGGAGTACTATCAACAGGTTCACGATGGCGAAGATGACTACTTGTTGGTGAAGAGTTCCTTAGTCTTTCGTAGTTTTCATTGAATACTGCGCTACTGATCACCTGAGACAGGACATGTGGGTGGTTGGCGGGTGCTCTGGTGTGGTTTGCTCCTTCTTTCCTATCAAACATCTATCGTCTTTATCTCCCCTTCTTCTTTTTTATGTTTGTTACTCTCTTGTAACACCTCTAATCTTCTGGCGCTCATGTAACCTTATGCAGTTGCGAGTGCCGTAAAACCTCTACTAAAACAAAAAGAAACTGAGACAGCACATCTAGTGTTATTATAATTTAATTAAGCGCTGAGAGATTGAGAGGAAGATATTCAAATAACAAATACCGATATCTGGATCTAGGTCTCGATTTTGTTTTGCTCCCAAGAACCGGAGTGTACCTACAGTTCCCAAATGGACGACGACAAGCAGAGGCAGTCCCAACAGGGCGACATTGTACAAACTACAGGGCAGAAATGGAGGCTCTAGTACATGCAGCAAACATCATCAAGAATGTGGTAGACCCCCAAAGCCAAGTAGTATTCCTAACAGATGCCATGTCAGTACTGCAGGCAATCACTTCCGGCAAACTACCAAGGCTACGAAAAGAAATTGAGGACATCCCATGTCTGAGGATCATGCTGCAGTGGATTCCATCACACTGTGGTGTCTTGGGAAATGAGCAGGCAGACAGGATGGCCAAACTAGGAGCACAAAAAGAGCAACCAGACAACAGCGTTAACTACACAGAAATAAAAACTATTATAAATACACTATTTAAAGCACCTCAGACACCAGATGGCTACCATGAGCTGTCCCGCCAAGAACAAGTGATTATCTTCAGACTAAGGACACAACACACAAGACTGAGACAGCATATGTACAAATGTTTTAAACTAGTACAATCACCAAAATCCCAGTGTGGAGAGGCGGACCGAACTGTTGAACACATCCTTCAGCACTGCAAGACACACAGGGCCCTGAGACAGGAAACGTGGCCAACCCCACTGACGCTACAAGAGAAGCTATACGGGCCGCCAGATGAACTGACTAGGACGGCCCAATTTATGACAGATACCGGACTTCAAGTGTGATGCGATTGAGAAGAAGAAGAAGAAGAAGCTCCCAAGAATATATGTAGTTTTAAAAGTAGCAGTGGGCAAATGGCTGAAGGGTAAACCTTGTTTATTCGCCAGTAAATTGCTTGAGACAGACAATCCTGTAATTTACCTTCAAAGGGTTATTGACAAAACAAGAGTTTCTTAGCTTCCCTACTTGTTTGTGTTGCTTCTTCTTCGACGCACTGTTTCTTAGCTACAGTTCAGGAGGATGGATTCTGACAGTGGGGAACAGGCTCGTTGTGTTGTCAACAGTATGGCTGTGGCTGTCTGAACTTTTCAAACCCTGATTGCATGGGAGGTTTATTAACTTTGTTTTAAAAAGCAGTCTTGTGTTTTCTTTCTTTTTTTAAAATATAGGCCCATGTGTTTTACACCCTTACACACACACACACACACACCCGTCAACACAATATGTTTCTTTTCTTCACAGAAACTTGTGATGTGTTTGATAAGCAGCTTCAAATTCAAATATTTCAAATAGACTCACAGCTTCCACATGCATGAAATTTGGCATGACAAGACCTTCATTTGTGCAGGTTTCATGCGCTTTTTGCTGTTAATGCTGGCATGTGAGTTTTCTTGTTACTCAAGCAGTCTTACACTTGTCACCTATGACTGGAGACACTTTCCATAGCAAGTACTCACTAATGTATGTGATGACATTTTTAAGCTGCACCAGGCCTTCTACTTCTACTCTCAGTGACTTGATGGGGTTAGTCACTGGTGGCTTCTCTTCGTTTTGAGCTTTATATTCTAAGAACACTGGTGGTGCAGTGTTTGAGTTGTACCTTCCGGAGGCATTACTGATGAGGAAGTGGTCAGTGTCATCTTTGCAGTTCATACCAGGACTGGTGAGAAGGATTTTTATCTACCATTATTAGAAGAAAAAAAAAAACCAATGGGGCTCTCCCAGGGGTCAGGATTATCTCTGAGACCTCCTGTTCCTCTCATGTCTCCTCTACACACAGGTTTTTCTACACAATCCTGATTCTGCCTGTTGCTGAGTAAAAACTTCACATCACCCTTAACATAACGGTTCCTCTACTAGAACTAGAATCCAAAGGGGTTTGAATCGTTTGTATTCGACCTTTAATGCAAGGTAGGGTCTCTGCTGGTTTCATTGCCGTTTTGTTGCCATATTTGAAGTTTCTTCAACTAACGAATGGCATTGCTCAAGTTCAAGAAGGGAATGTGGTATAGTATAAGTTGGTGTGATACAATGCTTGTAACATGCAGATGACTTGCTTCCCTTTGTGTCAAAAAGGTTGAAGAGACTGTCGAACCTGCCTATGAAAGGAGATGTGGCCATGTGCTCAGGCATAAATACACGCCGTAATACTTCATTCACACAAGATAAAAACATTTCACATTAACAAGAAAACCAGTTCAACCACACAAGGAAGAACTTTCACAACCATACATTTATCATATTATACACGTAAGGACAGAAGAAAAAAAACAAAACATATCAGCTCTTCTTACTCTTACTAACACACTACAACTAAGACTTAAACAAATGAGTCTTGAGCAATCGCTTAAACTTAGTGGGATTTACTGTTTATCTGAGGTCCTGGAACTAGGAGTTCCAAATTTTAGGGCCAAAAGTTGAGAAACTTTTCTCACCAAAAGATCATAGTTTCATTCTGTGGGCTCTGAATCTGAATCTTGTGGTGGTGGTGGATGACCGTAACTGGCGGGATGGAACGTACAATGTTACAAGCCCACACAGGGAGTATTATTGTTAAGACATTTCTATATTTATAACAGATGGTAGAACCTTTCTATTGAATTTTTTTCTTTTCAACTAGAAGCCAGTGAGTGCTTTTCACGTTTTTGATGCAGGATCTTTCTTCTTTTTCTTCAATACTACACTACTACTAGTCATGCGGTGTTATTCTGAGCCACTGGCAATCTCCTCATTCTTTCACATGAAATACCAGACAGAACAGAAATGCAATAGTCAAGTTTTGACTCGACAAGAGAGACAGGATGCATGCAATATAAATCAATTGAAATAAAGGTGCTTTATCCTACTGATTCTTCTGAGATCGTGGCACATAAACATCGAGTGACATGATTTACTTGGTTGTTCATGGACATGTCTGAATCTGAATAGATGTCAAGGTTCTTGGCCTTCCTGGAAAAGGATATTATTCTAGTATCTTCAACTTCTAATTGTAATTGGCTTCAATTTACATAAAGATTTTTTTGAACTCTCAAATAGGATGGTTTCCATTTTCTCATAATTCAGCATTGATTTGTTTTCACACACCATTTTTTTTCTCTTTTTCAATACATTTCTCTGTTCCTTCTTTAAATTCATCAGTGACGCATGGGTGAAAACGGCTGTGAGTCATTAGTGTAAAATGTGAACAAAAATTGTCTAAAATAATTTCCAAACAGTTTGCATAGAAAAAGACAAGGCAAAACAGCCACTTACACACACACATGAAAATCACAGTACTGCAGTACTCAAGTTGAACAGCACACTCTTTCTTCTCTTCGTGTCATTTGATTACACTTTGTGCATGCAGATTGCTGTTTCCAGGGGGGTGGTAACTTAGCTTGTCCGAAAATAAAAGCTGTTGTCGTGTTTTATTATTCAGTCTTTGGATGTATGTCGTATATGATGTAACTTTCTTGAACGTACTGTGTAAAATTTTGTTGATTCTTCTGCTGAAATTAAATATGGAAAAATGAACAGCAATCTTCTTTGTGTCATTCAATTTAATACAATATTTTTCATTGGCCGATGATTTGACTTAGAATAATTTGTAAAAATAGATGGATGTTGTACTATTGCAACTCACAAGCTGTGGGCAGACTTCAGTTCAGTTTGGTAAGAGTTTTACGATGTTCGTAAAGCAGGGATGCCAAATAATTTTTTTTTAAACCTGAAAATGAGCAGAGCATCACTCACATGTCACCTAAACTAAAACGAACCTTCAGTTCAGTTTGGTAAGAGTAAGAGTTTGACAATTTTCATAAAGCAGGGATACCAAATGTTTTTTGGGGTTTTTTTACCTGAAAATGAGCGGAGTATCACTCACATCTCACCTAAAACAAACCTTGTAACGTTTTTAAATGAGCGAACAAAAAAACTATCCCTTTTCTTTGCAAGTTTATGGGGCCTTTGTTTCATCAATTCCAGCCATTGGCCTTTATGGGCAATTATAGAGTGAAAATGAAATTGAATTATTAAAAATTTTTTAGGAAAGTTGTTTTAGATTGAAAATATAATATATTTACAACTGTAGCGAATAGAACTAACTTGTGTTTCGTGCGCTCATATGACCTAATGCAGTTGCGAGCGCCGTAAAACCCCATACTAAACTAAAAATTCCAGTAATATTATGAGAAGGACCATATGTCTGTGGCTGTCTTCTTCAGGGATACCAAATGTTTTTAAAAGAAAAGCTGAAAAAACCGTAGATTTGGCGTCCCTGATAACGTAACTATATAAAGATCATACATGAACGCGCAGGACTCAAGTTGGCAGTCTTGTATCTCCAGATGCAAAAGTAATCTTAATAAGGCAAATCTACACAGGTGGTTAGGCATGCCAAAGATGTGAGTTTGATAATTACATTGGGAAGATTCTGTCTAGTGTCTTCATATTTCTATTGCGATCAATCATACTTGACCAGAACAAGAAACACATACCTGCACGCACTACTGTTAACTGAAATCATAAAAATAGTGTCTGCTGTAACTGCAATGTTTGTAGAGAGCTCCTAGGTGGAAAGATGAACTCTGGGCTCCTGACTCTTTCTACAGCATCACTACTGCTACTCCTTGGTTCTTTCTTACTGCTGTCTTTCAGCCACACCCCTGTTCTTAGGCTAGGTAAGATCTAACCCCTACCTTTTTCGGATACGGGCGAAAAGTCTTGGAGGTCCCGTGTGCGCATTGCGCACGTTAAAGATCCCTCGGTTGTCCAAAATCGATAGAGTAGGCTTCGGCCGCCACCCGAGCAAAATTTAAAATTCCCTACCTACTGAACATCTTAATATGTCCCGCGCGCTAATCTCTATACATGTGTGACTTTATACAGTTGCGAGCGCCGTGAAACACTTACAAAAAAAGAAGAAAAAAAGGTGAAGTTCTTGCCTCTCGCATGCCAAAGTTCCGACAGGATTCCCTTTCCGGAACTATTGGGGAGAAAACTCGTCTATCAACTCATCCGAACGTCATGTGAATTCGATGATATGAAATGGTCGAGGTTTAACGCTCCTATCAACACCATTAGGTTATTTAAATTTAAGAGGCAAGACCTCCGAGTCAAACGTCCATCTCCGGAAAGAACAGAGCCAAACAGAGGAACGAAGCAAAACTTATTTTTTCGCATCGTCGGCAACCTCTAGATACAATAATTCATTTTTGTTCTTTGATTGTGAGGGCTGGCGTTCTTTTTAGAATTCTGCACCCTAAATCAAAGTGCGACCATCTTTAATGTCATTAGTAGACATGACATTTAAACAGCCGGATCAACTTCAGCTTGTCAGCAAGGAAATACAGTCGCACCTGCTCTCTCAAGCGGCCACTCGTATCGGACCGGACTATCACCAGTACAGTCATTTTCCATCCCTGCTCCCCATTTTGCACTTTTTAAAGTTGTTGTTGTTGAAACAGTATACAGTAGTCTCCGCCTAAGATCCCGGTGCTCGGGAGCAAGGAAATACGGGATCTTAGGCGAACCGGGATCTTAACCGATGAACCCAGGGAAGAATCTATGGTGACCCATGTTAAGGCTCACAATCGGTAAAATGGTCTCCATCCACTCTACAATGAACTGACGTGACAGCTTGGTGGGTTTATGACATATGGCGAGCAAAGAGTGGTTAACCTTGATGACCTATCACGGTGCATAGTGGGATGTGGCGTGCCATTTTCACTTATTATCCTATCATGAGTCTCAAGATCTACGCTTATCCAGTTGCCCCTCCTCTTTACCTGTCAAAAATGTATAGCTTTCCATCTCTGACCGAGTCCCCCCCCACACCCCCTCCAAACCGCCTTTGTCGTTACACACCATTACGTTGTGAACCCACCAATTAAAATTCAGTCTGTCTCGCAAATTTGGGAGTAGAGACAACTGTTGCAATGGTCAAGGAAGAGTTCACGGTTCGATGTGATCCTGCCTGGAGCGAACGTGTAGGCCCTACCCACCCAGCGAGTGATGCAAGTTTAGGGGGAGAGCTCAGGTGTGAGTGCGATGCGTGGGGAAAACAAACGCGTCGGTCAGTTCACACCCGGGTGTGATCCGGTCTGGGGCAAACATTGTATCGCTTCATCGAGTTTTACAACGTGTATGTGATCACATTCACGATAGTGGTTGATCTTTGACACGACGGACAGTTTATTGATCTCAACTTTTCAGTCTAGGTTGATCGGCTGTGCCCGCCCGGGGTTTTTTTTGGTGCTAATTATGATCTGAAATGCGGGATCTTAGCCGAATGTAGACCATCAGAGCGGGATCTTAGGGGTGACTTTTGTATAGTAAAAATTCTGTTTTCCTAAAACAACGGGATCTTAAGCGAACCGGGATCGTAAGCGGCGGGATCTTAGGCGGAGACTACTGTAGTACAATCGACTTTTCACTTGAGTTGACCTTTTTCTCGGGTCTCGGCACCTCATATTCGAATGATCTTTTTTTGTCTCCCTCAACAACATTAGATCATCCGTAGTTGACTGTCAAATGACATTGTGTAAGAAGACGGCCACTTCACCTCGACAATGAGTGGCCACCTTAGGCGATAACGACTGTACATGTATTAAATTAAAGTGTTAAAGAGTTGTTACAGAAGGCCCCCGACCACTTATAATGTTATAACAGTTCTGATTATAACACGAGTCTGCTAGTGCAAGCTGATATTATTTTCTGGAGTATATAAAAAAAAATAATTGAAAAAATTAATTTCTTTTATTGCCACGTGTGATATAGCAAACTTGCCTATAAAGCAAGTTGGTCTTTTATAAAGTATGGTTAAAAAAAATAGTTCTTTTAGTTTGGTTTTAGTAGAGGTTTTACGGCGCTCGCAACTGCATAGGATCATATGAGCGCCAAGGGGTGGATGTCAACAGAGATAAGTCTTTACAGGGAATCAGGGCTACTTCTGCTCACCTCTCTAGCTAAAACAACACCAAGTCTACTACGACTATCAAGGCAACCCGGAAACAGCGGGTCACAAGAATTTGACAAACATACAAAAGAAATAGAGGAAAATGACGATACATGTACTAATTAATTCTATAGTATTCAGTATAGTAAACATATTTTTTACACTTCTGGTTCTCAAAGCTTGCGTTCAATAAGCATTATAATGTCCCGGTTAGAAAAACATGACGGACTTGCTATTAAAATCAATATTGCCCCAGCTGCAAACATTTAAAAATCCGTAGAAACCACCCACGTGGCTTTGTTATTAGTATTCATAAAAGAATTTTCTAGAAAACAGCTACCAAGTGTTTACAAAAATGTTCATCTGTTCAGATAAATTGATACAAATCATTGAGCAAAAACTGTAAAACGCTAGGCCTATATATAATAATTTCGATGGTTGAGGAGATATTTGACAATAATTAAGTCGCACCACGATTTTTTGTCCGCACTAGGCCCACTTTGTTGGGGCCCCTAGTGTCTTTAGGTAGCCACACTCAAACATGTGCCATCAATACTCAAATACTGTCAACAATTAAATCATGTTATGTGTTCGATCTTTGACGAATTGTCACATTACAGGTGTTTGAAAGACTATTTGAACATTGAATGGGCCCGTACACATGAAAGTTGCTCTTTAATTAATTTTATATTATAGTGAAGCGCCCTAGCCCCAGGGAGTGAGCGCTCTTAGCTTAAGTAGAAAAATTAAAAGTAAAAGTGATAGGAGTTGTTATTTAATTTTGGAAGAGGCTAGCCGTACTTAATGACGGCTAGACTGGCAGTCTTATTCTTAATATGATGGCTAGACTGACCATTTACAAAAAATAGGCCTACTGAATTGTAAATATACATTTTTAGTGTGCAGTACCTAAAGTATTTGCATTTGAGACGAAACCAGGTGCCCTAATGACAGTGCATGTATTTTAAACCTCCTGTTTTCTAATGTTAATAGGGCTTAAGATAAGTACGGCTAGACTGGCAGTGTACCTCGACAATGAGTGGCCAATTTCTTGTCTAGTCGTACTGAAGTACGGGTAGACAACAAGGCTAGCCGTACTTAAGGACGGCTAGACTGTCAGGCTAGCCGTACTTAATATTGATGGCTGAATTATAAATGAAATTTTTAGTTTGCAATGCCTTCTAAAGTTTGTATTTCAGACAAAACCAAAAGATGCCTTACTAACTTGCATGTATTTGAACCTGAATAATTACTAGATCTAGATCTAATGAGACCTGTGTACTAAACAGGCTTGAGTCGATAGGGCCAAACCTAGATCTAAGTACGGCTAGACTGGCAGTTTTTTATATTAGATCTAGATCTAGATCTATCTAGATCTAGATTAGATCTAATTTTATTTTCCCAGGAACACACCAGCCTCTCATTTCGGGAATTCCCACAGGCTGCTGTTTCAGTGTTTCCAGTTTCCACTTCCGGAGCAGGGTCTATTGTGTAGCCTAGTAGTGTGTATTAGATCTTGCTTGTCTGAGTACTGACTGCTTATGGGCAGGCTACAGAGGCGAACGGAAAACATTGGACTTTCTACGAAAATGATACACTGTTTGAGTAAAGAGACAGAACTTGTTCCTTAATAGATCTAGATCTAGTTGTCTTATTTTCACACCATGAATTCAATAACAACGATCCTCGAATTTGGTGGAAACCACCATTGCTTTTTATGCATAACCAAAACCTACAGCTCCAGTGAATCCAGATCCCAGAAACTTTCAAGAGGTCGAGATGAAGAGGTAAAGTGTAAAGCATCCTGTTTTGTAGGTTCTAGATCCATCCCATTTTCATAGATCTAGAATCTATATGTGAAATTTTTAGCATTTGTATATCGAAGTGATTATTCGGACTCGAGTCCGAATATGAAAAAATGTTATTCGGGCTGATTCTTGTCCAGCATGACATCACTTTCAACTTCCTGTGACTCGTGAATCCGGCTTCCTGTCCTGCCTCACTCGTGACTCGCCTCAGGCTGGGTAGAGACCGGGATCACTTCGGGCAAAAAGGCGTTTTGTGCAGGAGCCGAGTTTTAATCTTATAAGTTATGATGAATTTGAGGCCGGCCTGAAAAGTTAGAGTGCTTCTAATAAATGTTTATTTGTCAAGAGGTCATCAGAAGCAATTAAAGATGGCTCATTAGCGTGTGTCTGGATCGGATGGGCGGCCTGCACACGTGTGGCTGTGTGCGTGTCGGGGAGGGTGGTGGGAGGGGGGGGGGCACTATCGGTCCGGACTTTGAACGTCGCATACGCGTCAGTCTTTTCCCCGCCGGCAACTGATCATTATTACAATAATAATTATATGCTAGTCTTGACGTAGATCTACGTAATGAATTGTGCGCTGATCTATGGAATCAAAAGTTGCCGTATGCTCAGCTCTACACAGCAACACAATTTTTTCTTGGTAAACAATCGATATGACACAGGCTTGTGTATTTGAACGAATCGGTCTTTTTTTTTTTTTACACAGTTCATAATATAATGCAGGTGCCAGGTGGTTTGCTTATCTTCAATTTTACCTTTTTCTACAACAAAGAAAGTGGGAAACGTGGGAGGGGGGGGGGGGGGCGATTCAATGAGGCGGCGGGCATTGGATCGGCAGATAAGGTGTGGGGGAAACTAAAAAATGGCGGAAAATTGGAAGCACTGAACGTTAGATCTATAGAACGAAGACACTTCCTTTTTTCCAGACATTCGGACTCGAGTCCGAATATGAAAATATGTTATTCGGACTCGAGTCCGAATAACGACGAATGGAATTAGAAAGTAGGACCCCCTTCGTCCACATATATATATGTTATTGTAATATTGTTATTTTAAATAAGGCCGGCTCTAGGTATATTGCTCCGAACGCTCGGGAAAATAAACTTGAACTCTATTTCTCCGAACGGTTTCCGTTCTCCAGATTTTTGGGTTATATGTGAACGCAGCGGCCTGTGTGTGTGCGGAGTGTGTGCGCGTGTGTGTGTGTGTGCGTGTCTGTGACTGAGTGTGAATGTGTGTGTGTGTGTGTGTGTTTGAGTTTGCATATAATATATATATGTGTGTGTGTGTGTGTGTGTGTGTGTGTGTGTGTGTGTGTGTGTGTGTGTGTGTGTAAGGTGTGAATGGGGCGTGAGGGGGGTGGGGGGGGGTGGAGGGATTTATTTTGTTTACATTTAAAGGATTATAGTTTTTTGCAAAATAGGTTACTGCTAAGGCCGATCAGTCTTGTTTTCTCACAGTACCTTTTGAAGCATTATAGTCCGGGGACGTTGCCCCAATAACTACTGAAGTATCTGAATATTCAGACATTAAAAAATCTCTAGCTCTAAAAATTGAATTCGATGCAAAAAAAAAAATGCTTCTTCCGAGTCCTCGCAGAATGGCAGAATGAAAGATCATGACGCCTAAATCTCGCAATTAACCAAAAAGTCTCGAGAGCGGAGACCGTTCGGAGAAATAAAGTTCAAGTTTATTTTGCCGAACGTTCGGAGAAATAGTCACTTCATTTAAATAATGTGGTTTAGAAGGGGGGGGGGGGAGGGGCAGCTGAAGGCTATCTCGCTTAGTGGATGAAATGTTACCAAATTTCACACTCATATTCAAGCATAGTAAGGAGTCTTAACCCTAGAAGCGCTCAGCGTTTCACCGGAAGTTACCTGCCAAAAATGCCCTGCTTGCGTGGCTGATCGGTTGTAAACATGGGTTTTTTTCCGGGGGGAGGGGGGGGGGAATCAGCTGAGATGCCCAAGATGTATACACCTGCTACTGAAAAATGACCATTTACTGCTCAACAGATGATAAAAGGCATATAAGACCCTATATCTTTTCTTAATGCTGATAGAATGAGCCATGCAAATATGATCGATCAAATAAAATACAAACAAAGTGCGAAACGCGATAAACTCAACAATTAGTACATCAGCATGGTGAAACAAGTGATAACACATAGCGTGTAGTCGCTCAGCTGGACCGCGTCACTTTATCGATCGATATCTTGGCCAAGAGACGCTCTACGAGCTCAAGATAACTTGCAAAGTCATTGGTCACTATTTATAACTTTGACCTGTAATTTACTCTGTCATTTTCCATAAGGAATTTTCCATTTTTATTTAAAAAGGTCAGCGTCTATGCCCTTTATATAGAGCCTGCGCGCTTCCCGGTTGAAGTAGGTCAGCCCTAAAAGGCCTGTGTGCTTCCTTAAAATCCGCCTTCAAATTTGAGAAAAAAAATTTGGTTCGATGGATGCGGCGGCCACTATTCTCGATTTTTGTGACATTTCTTACGTAGATATCTAATTAATTAATACTGCACTTATTTTTCATGGAAATAAATTGTTTTTTTGCATGTATCTTGGCAGACAATAACTAGATCTATAAATCTGTGAGATGAATTTTTCCTAATACAAGAAAATTTTTTATGAATTTTTTTCCTGAGGTATTCTCGATCTAGAGTTAGGATTCACGTTTGCAAAAGATCCTTAAAAATCCACACTCCCATCACCACCCACAAAATACTATTCCATATATATAAAAAATTGATCACCCAAAGTTTTAGAATTACATCTTATTCTTCATTTTGTGAAAATTTCATGAAGATGAATGAAAAATGGACGTGGAGGTAATAAAAAAATTATGTTTTGAAAAAAAACACATTTCCAGAAAACAGGTGATAAAAAAAATAATAGATTGAATTTATGAGGAAAAGATTGACTTTATGAGGCAGCTGGATATGAAAGATTATTAAGGGGAGGAGCGGCACCCTGAAAGTCCTGGTTCGCCTCAAAACTATGGATTTTAAGTTGTGTGCATTTTTTGCTTCTTCGGCCTCTCGTACAACTGTTTCATCGCTCAAGAACACCCTAAAGCCTTATTTCTTTCCATACCGGGGATGTTTGTCATCACCATGAGGACTGTTAATTTGATCAGGCTCAGGAGTTAGATATAGTTATTATTTTCATTCCTTTTCATTTGATCTACAGTTTCTGTGTCTCTAGTGTCCCCATTTTTGCAGTTTTTCTTTAAATAGTAATTCTTTTAACTTGTTATTGTTCTCCAAGATCCAAGTTTATGAGGCTGAGAACAACCAGGGGGCCAAGGTGTTCTTCAGCATCCACAGCAAGCTGGCAGACATTATGCCTGGGGACACGGTGCAGCTCAGCGGACAGTACGGGGTGAAGTTAGGTCTCAAGGACAACGAACCGGTAAGTAACAAAGCTGGCCAGGACCCACTGTGGGGGACAGGGTTGGTCAGAGGTCAATGGGTTTTTTTTTGGTAAGTTTTTGTTTTATGGATAAGGTCAGATGAGCGCGCGGGACACACCAAATATTTTCAGTTGGTAGGAAATTTTGAATTTTCACGGGCGTGGCCGAAGCCTACTCTTATTGATTTGGACCACCAAGGGATCTTTAACGTGCACAACTTGCACACGGGACTTCGGAGATTTTTCGCCCTTGTCCGAGAAGGCTTACTACCTATCATAAGATCAGGAGGTGTGGCTTAAAAACAGCAGTAAGAAGGAGCCACGGAGAAGCAGTAGAAAGGCTGCAGGAAGAATCAGGAGCCCTGATAAACAGGGGGCAAAGTAGGTGAGGGGGTGGGGGCAGGAAGTGAAGACGAAAGCAGACAACAACATTGTTAAAGAGCAGGAAAGGATGTGAAAGGTGAACATTTTAGAGAGAGGCGAACACCTTAACTTCTAGGCCACGAGAGCCCCCAGTCAGTGTTTGTTGAGTAGACAAGTCAAAAGAAGGCTTTTCTCCAGTGTAAGCTATAACTGTTGGTTGGCATTTTTTTTGGATAGATAGTCATGCTTCCGGCAAATGAATGCTGTTCCTACCCCGGGATAGATACATGAGCCTTGACTTTTCTCAGACTGAAATTCACAAGGTGGGTGGTTGGCAGGTGCTCTGATACTTGGAGGAACTATAATAGGAGAGGCCGCGAGTCGCGTAACGTGAAGCCGCTGCAGACGACGGTCGGCCATGTTTGTGAGATCAGCTCAGTTCTCTCAGTTGTAAACTTAATGTCAACCGAATGGCAGTTTGCGTAGCGTTCGGGTCCGGTGGGCCTCTCATTCAAAGGTCCTGGGTTCGAATCCGAGTAGTGGCGTAAAAATTTTGTTCCCTAAAATTCTACTTTCTCTTTCGTCTGCTTTCACCTCCACTTTCTGCCCCTACCTCCTCAGGGCTCCGGACTCTTTCTGCAGCCTTTCTACTGCTACTCCTTGGCTCCTTCTTACCTCTGTCTTTCAGCCACACCCCTGATCTTCTGGTAGGAAAGATCTACCCCTAGCCTTCTCGGACAAGGGTGAAAAAATCTCGGAGGTCGCGTATGCAAATTGCTCAAATTAAAGGTCCCTTGGTGGTCTAAAATCGATAAGAGTAGGCTTCGGTCGCCACCCAGGCAAAATTCAAAATTTCCTACCAAATGTTTTAAAAAATATCAGTCTCTAGCAATGGCACTGAACTTGATGACGAAGTGCCTTCTGATTTAGCCGTAAATGCATCTCACAGTAAAAACAGAATGAAAAAAGATTTCAGAAAATTCAGTTTGCCATGATGATAACTGCACATATGTGCCTAGATCTAGTCTAGCATACTTGTCAATTTGCTCTGCATGTTGCTTACATTGCTGGTTTTGTGTTGTTAAGGTTGACAAAGCATTTGAAAATGTGAAACCTGCATCGGTGCCTTTGTTGACTCCAATGTGTCAAAAGTAAATTCCTTGCTGTTTTTTGAAGTCTCGTCGGAGGTTCGACAGTGCCTTCAAAGAATGTCATTGAAGTGTGTTTGGTGTGTGAATAACATTTTTGATGCCATGTGTCGTCTGTCTGTGCATGGGGTGTGACATTGTCAAGAGTGAAATGTCATAAATTAGTGCAATCTGTTTTGAAAATCTTCTTATTATAAGCATTCTCTATCAATTTTTCAATACCCTTAACAGTATTTTGTAAAATTTAAATAAAGTGTCTTGGTGTTTTAAAGGTGCCCCTCCCTCCTCGCTTTATTTGGGGGGGGGGGGGGCTGTTTTATTCTTGTTTTTGTGTGTGGGTGTGTGTGTGTGGGGGGGGGGGGGGGGGTAATTTCCACCATCATACTTCACTCTTATCTGCCTTGCCCTCTCCTTCCTCATTCTTCGCCCATCCCATCCCCCCCTCATTACCATCTTTTGTGTAATCATTTTCAATTTTGTTAGAAATATATTCTGTTGTAAGTTTAAGTCAAGAAGACTACGTTTTTGTAAAAATAATGTCAGTGATGACATCATTTTGCACTGATGAAGTTCTATGACCGAAAAGTCTGCAAATTTTGTTATTTCGTTTTTTGTAAAAGTAATGAAGTTCTACTACCAAAAACTCAGCAAATGTTATCATCCCGTTTATAATTTTGTTTTGATCCTTATTATCCCAATTTTGTCTCTAAAACATGTAAAACAGAATATCTTACCATCACAATGTGTATACATAGTACACGTATTACTGTAAATATTCGACTAAATGAGGTGGTAATTTGATGCAAGTAAGATTTGTTAACATTTTTATTACATTACAACTGTACGTGAGTGCTTATAATGCTGTAATTAACATTGACAAAGAAATTTTGAGAGACAATGGAGTCCGAGCAGCTTGTTTTGAAAGGAGATTACGCTGCGTACGCTGCATTGTTTTGAACTTACAAAGATGGCGGCAGGCCCGATAAGCTCCGCCCTTTCGGCTTCAACTTGGTTGGAACTGTTGAGCGGGCGACGCAACGTTAGGGCCTCTCCCTATATAGTTACTCCAAGCTCTGATATGATTTGCTCCACTTCTTTCCTATCAAACGTCTATCGTCCTTATCTTTCCCTTTTTTGTGTTTGTTACTTTCTTGTACACCTCTAATCTTTGGCACTTATATGGCTTTATTGTGTAGCTAGTGCCGTAATACTCTTTCTAAAACGAAATGAAGTTCGCATGAATGATTGGCAATGGCAATGGGGGATCCTGCAGTTTCTTTTATGAGGCAGCAAAGAGTCCCCAAGTGCAACCTGCACAAGAAGATTAAGTACATGGCAATGACTCTCTTCTGTCAGTGTGAGAAGTAAAGCCACTACTTTAGTCATTTTAAGTAACTGCTGCAAATTTGTATGTTATCAAACCAAACTGGGTCAGGGCTATTAAGTTGTTGTGGTGTGTTTATATTTTATGTTTCATATTGTGTTTCATGGTTTTAGTCTTTTTGTCACAGACATTGTACTTTTCCCCTAACTAGTATCAGTGATCATAATCTTCCGCAGATCCCCGGAAATCCAGGATTTTCAGTGTTCTCGGCTTTTCCCTACCAGTTCTTCCTTTCCGTAATACCACTACATCCAATCCCATTAAGCTATTTTCCCTGTCCCCAAAGGTGTGTTAATTGTTGATTACAAGATTTCTTTTGAAACTGAAATTGATGTTAATAATTTTATGGGTTTGGTAGGGTCTCTTGATTTTATTTCGCGGGTACGGTACTTCTGTCGGGTGTATTTGCCTACTTTTTGACTTTTGATCGTTATGATCGCTGCAGTATGTTATTCTGTTGTTTGTGGGTGGTTGGAGGGTGCTCTGGTGTGGTTTGCTTCTTCTTTCCTATCAAACATCTAGCATTTTTATCTCCCCTCCTTCTTTTTTGTGTTTGTTACTCTCTTGTAACACCTCTGATCTTCGGCACTTATATGACCTTGTTGTGTTGCAAGTGCCGTAAAACTCTTACTAAAAAAAATAATAAAAAATTCTGTTGTTTCTGTCTGAATCATTTTCCCCTCTACCAACAATGTTCATGATGTGACTGCCCTCTGGTTTTTTTATTGTGAAGTATGATGGCCAGGAAATAGGACATATTTTTTGTGAAAAGTTGATCAAGATCTATCAATATATTTCCCTTTGTTAACTTCTGGCAGTTGATATTGAAACCCATCAAGTCTTCTGTGCAGACAGTTCGGCGTGTGAGCATGGACCCCCTGAGTGTGGACGACTGGGAGATTTTGGTGAGAATTTCGAGATGTTTAGTTTTCAAGTGTCTTTAATATTATTTCCCGTAGTGCTCTATGGGGTCTCTGTCGATGCTTTGGTGCTCAGTGCAACTTGTTCAAAAGTGCAGAACCTTTGATTTATCAGATTGTTATCCCCTGTCAGTTCAGTTTGGATCATAGAAGAGGCAGGCTGTTTTGACCTTGCTTGTCAGGGCCAACTCAGATTGGGTTTGTTGAAAACATTAAAGCAAAAAGATGGAGCAGCTCGATTAAGTCTGGTGGGTATTGAACTTATGTCTTTTGGGTGTATGAGTGAATGGCAGAGAGCCATGACACCGCGGATACCAGTTTCAAGTGTAGTCATTTATCTCTACAAAGTTGTTTGTGTATGTGTATGAATAAATCCTAACAAAACGTGATGTTGATCCAGGGTTGATCTGTTTGATGCTAACAATTGAAAAGTTTAATTTTGTTTGACATTTTTAAATGAATCTGGAATGTGAACCTTAGAGAACCTAAACAGATGGGTAACAGGGAAAGGTCAGGGAAACAGCTTTTTTTAAAGAGCATCCGGACAAAGGAAGGAATGGAGAACCATGATTGCTGATGTCTGCCACAAATATGGCACTTGATGATGGTGATTCTCCTCTTGTACACAGGAGCAAAATGCAGGCCGGGTGGAGTTGGTTCTGATGGACCAGGTACGAGTCGTGTGGCCGGGCCAGATCATTCCTGTGTGGATACAGAAGTCCTTGGTCATCTTCATGAAAGTCAGTGAGTACCGTCGAAATTGTCCAAGACAGCTGGCCATTGTCGAGGAACAAAGTGGTTGTCTTTGATATTTATAGACCCAGAGGACACATAAATCTATGCAGCTGGAATTGTGATTTCTAAGTGAATTACCTTATAGTTCTATTTATAGAAATCTCAAAAGTAGGTCAAATACGCATGTTGTTGTTAGCAATCCAGTAGCATCTACGCGTTTACTCTTGTGCATGATGCCATTCTGTGATAGCTGCATGTCTGTTCTAATTGTTGTCCTGAGGAGTAGAGGCAGTTAGATGTGTGGGGTAGCTTGGGAATAAAACATCCACTCAAATCGGTTAGTTTTCTACAGAAGAACAGATGATGTTCCACTGTCTCTGAAGGGTAGTCACATAGTGGGCAGGCAGCAGACTGCTTAACTCCAATTCAGTTGAGATGTTGATTGAGGGGTACATGTTGTGTTCTAAGTTGGAAGATTATGGTGGGGGGGATTAGTACTCTTCGAACAGGAAAAAAAAAGAGGAAGTGAACGGGTCAAGGGGTGACCCCAAAAAGAGACACATATTACTTTACTTTATATCTTACTTTTCCTATTTATTGTTTTATTTCATTTTATTATTATTATTATTATTATTATTATTATTATTATTATTATTAATATTATCACCTTTCTTTGACCTGAAGTTGGGACAGTGTTGGTGGGGTGGGAAGCAGAGGTTCATTGTCAGCACTGTACTGGATGTGACTTCACGTAGGGAATACCCAGCTTCATATATGTATCAAGCATGCATTTATTGGAGAGCCCTATGACTGCGGAGAAGGTGTAGAGACCATTTGCGTCTTGCTTGCTGACAACATTAACCCTCTGGGACCCGCCATGCCTTCCCCTGCCCCCATCTGCGGGGATGAGAGGACTTGATTGCTCTGGGAGGGGTGAAAGAAAACCCAGCTTTCAATTGTTATTATTATTATTATTTAAAAAAAAATTGATTGGACAGAAGTGTTTCAGAAACACAAAGCAGCTATGCTCTTAATAGTGTCTTTCTCTTCTTTATCTCCTCAAACATCTTCTCAATAATATAATACAACAGACACCAACATACCCATTCCTTTTTCTTACGACCTCTCTGTGGTGGAATTGGGTTTTTGTTTATGGCATTGCTCCTACAGCCGCCGCTTTATCTCCTACCCCGGGATGGAAGGAAAATCACAGATCCACTAGTTTAAGATGCTAAGTATGCAAATGAGTTGAGTGAAATCTGTGATTTGTGCCTTAATTCAGTGCCTACCCAATATGCATTACTCTTAGGTAAAATACCGCAGTAATAACAGCCCCCCCTCCACCAGAGCAGTGCTACTGACTGAAGTTGTCTTTAGGCCATTCCCAAAGTGGGGGATATTAACATGTTCTTATGTATAGTAGAATTGTAAATGGGCTGATTTATCAATGTCATGCTCGTACTGTGCCGGAACAACATAGGGGGAACTGCTGCTTTTTCTTTCCTCATCCTGACTATCGTCATTTACCTCTAATTCTTTTGTTTGTTTATCAATCTCTTGTGAACTGCTGTTTGCGGAGTGCTTTGATAGTCGAAGTAGACTTTGTGCTGTTGAGGCTAGAGAGGTGAGCAGAGTAAGCCTGATATCCCTTTTGGATTTCTCTGTTGACATCCACCCTTTGGCGCTCATATGACCTTATGCAGTTGCGGGCGCCGTATAACCTTACTGAAACTTAATTAAAAAGTCATAACAGCCTTAACAAACTTGTAATGTAATATTTTTTATGTTATCGTACTTTTTTTTTTTCATTTCAAATTTGAATAAGTAGGTTATGTATAAAACAAATTTCTTTTGTTGACAGCAAAAGGTTAATCACGATTATCACTTTGACAATAGCATGTTTGTAAAAGCCATTTTGACAAAATTTTCATTCACAAGAATTTATAGAGCTTGCATTCGCCTAGTTTTGGTGTAAATTACAATTATCCAAACTTGTTTCCCAAACTTTTTGTTTCAAATTTTTGCGAACATTTTCGCTCTCGTTTCAGCGATGAGCTTTTATTTTGAGGTTTCGCCTCCCAAATGTCGTTCAAAATGTGTTGAAAGGGACCCGAATCACAAACTTATACCTTTATCTGTCTGTGTTTTTGGCAAGATATCATGAAAAACTTTTGAGCTACTGTATTCTTTTACCTGCATTTTTTGTGTTATTAATTTCCCAGCCGGCTTAGAACCCATGTCGTCGTGTGCGGTCTTGGAGAAAAACTCGGAGATCGTCATCGCGGCCAAAGTGAGAGCCAGCCTGCCACCGAACTCGCTCAGCCTCCCACCCAAGAAGAGTCTTCCTGCTGGTCCATCGCAGGCAGCGCAGTCCCCACAGCTCATTGGCTCGCCGATGAAAGTGCCAGGTACTACACGGGGTATACGGCTGTATTATTGGGCTAGTTTTGTTTCATTATAAGTTTTTTGGTTGTGTAAGTAGACACGGCGTGACTATTCTTCTCATAGAAATTTTTATACACATATATACAGATGCATAATACCATGTTTTACGTACACACATGTCCATTAATTTTTAAGGTGTGATATTTTTATTAATGTAATGCGCATTGAGCATTTTTTAGAAAAAGGAAATGCACAGTGTCAATACTGTTTATTATTATTATTATTAGACAGTTTATAACATTATAGGGTACTTTAATTAGATTGTAATGATGTTTTGAACTGTTTCATGGTACTTTAGTTACTTATTATTAGGCTTGTTTTGTGTGCCAGAAAATTGTATAAAAATCTTGTTGAATTGTGGACTAGGTTTTCTGTTTTTGACTTACCTTATTGGGCAGTTCTTTAATTCTCTTTTATATCATTGAAGAACAGTTTTGTTTCTGGGGCAAATGTACAAGTGTTGCATTTTAGGGTTGTTTTGTAACATTACAAATTCAATTTTACCGCTATGAATATTTTTTTTTTAGTTACACTTTATTTTTCGTAAATGAGACAACAATTTAGTAATCTTTTTTTTATGTTTCGCTACTGTTTTTTTTCATCAAATGTAATTTTAAAATGTCTGCTTTTTTGGTTTTTGTTTTGCTTTATGTCAGTACTAAATGCCAAATCCTAAGTTAATGTTCTTCTCTTTTGCTCAAGTAAGAAAATATTTGTGCCCATAATTATGGTTTATGGGCCAATCCTCTTTAAAATTGATGTAATAATCGGTTCAGTGGAATTGAATTCTGTCACTGATGCAATGCTCGTGTGTCTGGTCAGAGTCCCCGTGCAAGGCACGGGTGAAGGATTCCCTGTCTGCCCCGGACTCCCTCGATACCCTGGAGCCCAAAATGACCAACCGCAGCCCTAACCGCAGTCCTCGGTTGGTGTCACGCAAGTCCTCGGTGAAGGTCCACAAGAACTACTTGTCCAACAGTGACCAGTTCCCGGACAGAGGGGAGTCGGGGAGGCAGATGGTTCGTCGGCAGTCATCGCTTATGGAGAGTGTGATGAGGTAGGAGGAGAATTGTGTGGATGGATAGAGGGATGGAGGGATGAACTGAGAGACAGACTGAGTAGACTGTAAATAGACAAACAAATGGATGGACTGATGGTTAGACAGATGGTTTGTCGACAGTCCCGGCTTATGGAGAGTGTGTTGAGGTAGGAGGAGAACTGTGAATGGAGGGAGAGTGGGAGGGAGAGATAGACAGATGAATTGAGGGACAGACTGAGTAGACAGTAAATAGCAGACAGATGGATGGACTGATGGATAGACAGATGGTTCGCCGGCAGTCCTGGGTTATGGAGAGTGTCATGAGGTAGGAGAACTGTGGAGGCAGACAGATGGAGAGATGGATGGAGGGACACAGGGACGGACAGACTAGACAGACAGACGGAGGGAAGGATGGATGGACAAGACAGACGAGAAAGATGAATGAATAGATGGACGTATAGATGGATGTACAGATAGACAGACAGACTGACAAACAATAGAGACCAGACAGATAGATGAATGGGCGGACAGAAGGATAGACAGTCAAACAAGACAGACTAGACAGAGGAACAAACAGACAGACACACAGACAGACACACAGACAGAGAGACAGTTGAACAGAGAAACAGACATAACTGGAAGAAGCATTAAAAGAAATGACGTTTAGCTTGAGTTGACAAGTTATGCTTTAGTACTGCGTCTTTATCGTCAGTGTGTCTGTCGTGTCTCCCAGGCGTATATTTCCCTTCATGGACAACCGTCGGGAAGACAGCGATAGCCACTCTCACTCCGACTCGGATGCGGGCTCGGCCATCGACTTCTCTATGCAGAACCTGCCGTCGCGCAACGCCGTGCTGCGAGTACAGCCCATGAGGCTCAGCTGCACGCTGGAGGACTGCATGGTCTCGCATGCTGCCCGGGCACGGGGCAGTCAGCCGGTCATGTCCAGCTCTCTGTTCAGCGGCAGGAAGTGGCCGTCGTTAGAGTCGCGGTTGGCGGAGGAGTATATGTGTGATGTCCCAGCCGAACTTTTCCAGGTCAGTAGTTTGCTATTGTTTGGCTCATTTCATCATCTCTGTATTCCGTCTCTGATTTCAATACTTTTTAATATGATTAATCTGCTAACCTTTGCATTTTGTCCCTGATTTTAATATATTACTAGCTGGGCCCCCTTTCAATGAAAGGGATGATCGGCACATTAACATTAACTGAAAGTCATTGGCCTACTACCTCGACCTTCGCGAGCGCGAGGGGTTCCAACTGCAGAACGTCGTTTTCTTTTCGGCATGGTCAGGCGCTATCTAGATTTAGATCTAGATTCAAATCTGAGACATGTTGACGTTGTTCCCAGTAATAAGAAAAGGAATTTGGCAAAAGAGTCCAGAAAAAGCGATGATGGGCATCAGACGAAAGGATCTCAGTCGAATTTAGCACCAAGTAAAAAAAGAAAACATGAGGCTAGATCTTTACGGATCGCACACTTAAAATTGTGATCAGTATTGCGCGACAATACGCGATAGTATCGAACGGAAGTATGACTTGAAATAAACAAACCTGGCGGATTTTCTAAAATTACTGAGACAGAAGTGTCGGACTACAAAAGCGATTGGCGAAATAAAGAAATTTAGCTTTTCTCAGCAAAACTGTCTCAAAACTGAAAAAACGAAGGGCGTCATGATCTGGAGAATATTTCAAAGAATCTTTTGGCGAAAGCCGCATGTCGATCGATGCAGCCATTAAAAAGCCTTTTGAATAGCAAAATTCGGCCACCACAAATAGATAATAGAAAATGTGATTAATTTAGTAATCACTGTACTCTGTCCCTAATATCAATATTTGTTTTGTGTTTAACTGGGTAATACTTGTATTCTGTCTCTGATTTCAATATTTGTGAGGCGTGCTAACAAAATGAGTTACTTCTCGCAATCCATGAATGGAGATATCAGCCAAAAATCAACACAAGGGTCATATTTGTAGACTCTAAACCAATGCCATTCTCATCAAGTTTAACATGTCTTTTATCATTTCATACTGATAAATTGTAAAACTTCAACCTATAAATTTGATGTTTCTTTTTCCATGGGTCTAGAATCTGAGAAGTAACTCATTTTGTCAGCACACTTCACATTTGTTATGTGGATGACTTGGTTAATCTGTACTCTGTCCCTCATTTGTTCTGTGATAAATGAAGTCAATTCAGTATTTTGTCCTTTTTCTATGCGGTTAGGTCTGAAGTCTGCCATTGATATATTATGTGTATAATGTCACTGATTTCAAGGAGTGTTAAGTAGGAATTTATAAAGATTTTTTTTCTTGAAATGTCATATAATCTTGTTTTATTGCAGAGGATTAAAAAAAAAAAAGGGTTCCTTCCCCCAATAATCAATTCCACTCGTTCTGTGCTCAGAATATGGTCAGGCTAGCTTATGTGATCTGTTCTATTTACATCTTTTTGGTTGTGTTTGTCTTACTGTTGTCCAAGGTCTTCTCCGTGGGTGGTTGGCGGGTGCTCTGGTGTGGTTTGCTTCTTCTTTCCTATCAAATATCTACCGTCCTTATCTCCCCTCCTTCTTTTTTATGTTTTTACTCTCTTGTAACACCTCTAATCTTCTGGCGCTCATATGACCTTATGCAGTTGTGAGCGCCGTAAAACCTCTACTAAAACAACAAACAAGGTCTTCTCCTTGAGAAATGAAAAGTAAATTAATTTGTTAAAATTCCACTTTTTGTGATCCTTGTAGAGAAATTTGGTTCACCATATCGTAATATGTGTATCATACATACATAAATATGGTACACAAATACAAAAAAAAAACATAGGTAGATGCATAAATACAAAGTGCAATGAAACAAATACGTATAAACATGGATAGATACATACGTCCTGAAATAAATATCCAGATATACTACAACACACCGTTGCTGGTGGCCACAGTGCAGTGCCCTGTTTTTTTTTTTAGCGAGGGTCATTTTGTCTTGCCCAAGGACATACCCCAGTAACCATCCACCTAAACGCTGTGTGTGGGTGGTTGGTGGGTGCTCTGGTGTAGTTTGCTTCTTCTTTCCTATCGTCTTTATCTCCCGTTATGCAGTTGTAAGCGCCGTAGAATCTCTACTTAAACTAACTAAAAACGCTGTGTAACCGACGTATGCTTCGCATTTATTGCGAGCCTGAACTCACTAACCACTCTGCCTCTAGAGCCTCATATTGGTCTGAGTACATGTTGTGTTTGCTGATCTGCCATAAATTACCCCCTCAAATCGATTCTTTTCCAATGACTTATTATTCTTCTTTTTCTTTTATCTTAAAAAAAAAAAATTACCCCCCTCTGCAGACGTCCACGGTGTACGTGGACTCTGAGTTCTTGAAGACGGAACGACAGCTTCACCCTCACCTCCCCTGCCTGCCCCCTGTTGTCATCGCTCGCATTGAGAAGCTCCCGTCGCCCCAGGAGAAATCCGAGGCCACCCGAGATCAGAATATGCGCAAGAAATCAAAGGAGGTGATTGGAAAAGATGGCACAGCTGCCGGAAAGAGTGAGGGAGGGGGAGGAGAGAAAGGGAAAGATGACTCTGCTGGCGATGACCTGGGCAAGTTCAAGGGCACCTGCTACGTGCGTGTGGTCGGCATCAACAGAAAGGCTAACTTGGTGGACGATGCGTGGCACGATGCAGCCGACAGGATTCTTACGGAACAAGCTCTCATGTGGGGTGAGCTTTTTGTGTCTGTGTGTGTCTATGTCTGTGTGTCTGTCTGCCTGCCTGCCTGCCTGCCTGCCTACCTATCTTTATGTGTGTGTGTGTGTGTGTGTGTTTGATGTACAGTGTTGTGTGTGTGTGTGTTTGATGTACAGTGTTGTGTGTGTGTGTGTTTGTGTGTGTGTGTGTGTGTGTGTTTCATGTACAGTGTAGTGTGTGTGTGTGTGTGTGTGGTGTGTGTTTCATGTAGGTTGTTGTTTGTTTCAGGTCACATGATTGTGCCAGACATTCTGCGGCGACAGCTCAAGCTTGATGCCACGGGCTCGGCCTGGCTACAGACTGGCGTCGTGGACATTGTGGTGCCCTACAAGATCTGCATCTATCCAGTCTCCGCAGTGGTGAGTTCTTCAAAATCTTGTCCCAGGTCTTCTTCTTCTCCATCGCATCACGCTTTAAATTGTGGTTGGTTGGCGGGTGCTCTGGTGTGGTTTGCTTCTTCTTTCTTGTCAAACATCTATAGTCTCTGTCTCTCCTCCTTCTTTTTAGTGTTTGTTACTCTCTTGTATCACCTCTAATCTTCGGCACTTGTATGACCTTATTGTGTTGCGAGTGCCGTAAAACACTTACTAAAGCAATTGAAATCCGGTATCTATCATTTACTGGGCCGTCCTGCTCAGTTCTTTTGTGGGCCCATGCAGCTTCTTTTGCAAGGTCATTTGGTTTAGCCACGTTTCCTCTCTCAGGGACCTGTGTGTCTTGCACTTCTGATTCATGTTTGTATCCGGTGGTCAGAGAGAAGTTTGTGAAAAGAACAAACATTCACTCTTTCCTGTGCCAATCTACAACATATTTTTTTGAACCGGTGCTGCATCTACGGTCTATCATCTCTTCATTATTCCATCAGTTGTATTTTCCTTTCTTTTCTACTCTTGTGAAAGTTTGCAGTGCATACTATTAATGAAAATTCTTTTTAAATATTTTTTTTTCTTGGAAAGAAGTGTTAGCTTTCGATTTCTGGGAAATGATAAGCCTGATAAATGGTGTGTCTCAGATCCAGCTCCACTAAAAACCTTAGGATTTTTTGTCAGCAATTTCTATCGCTCTTTGATATTATTATAAAGCAAATCCTGCTATGGTTGGATCAAAAAGGAAAGCACTACCTTCCCTTTGTATTGACTGGAGGTGTAAAGCAGGCCATATCAGTACTAAAGAACAAAATATTAACTTAGAAAACTGACTGCAGCTCCTTCCGAAAGTTTGTCTTGAGCTGATAAGATAAGATAAGGTACATCTTTAAGATAAGGTACATCTTTATTGTCCAGATCCTGTCACATTGGTTTGGTGCTTCTCCTTGTACTTACACACATACACACACACACACACACACACACACACACACACACACACACACACACACACACACGCACAAATGCATGCACATGTGCACACCCATATACACATGCACTCTTCTTTTACACATCCTCTCTTCCACACACACCTGAAGACATAACAGTTCACACTGTCATGGGTCCAACATGCTGGTGTTATGAAGTTTTTCTCTAATTCTTTCCCGTTTGTTTCTTCTCTTCCCTCCTTCTTTTTCCTTTCTCCTGTCTCCCTCCTGTCACCTCCTTCCTTCCTTCCTACCATTTTCCATGCTTGAACCTCTCGCCCTTCCATCTACTTTGTCCCTCTTTCTTCCTCCCTTTGTCTTGCATCCTCACACCATCTCCTACCCCCTTCCTCCTCTCTCCCTGTCTTTCCACCTCCTTCAACTTAACACCTTCTTCCACCTCACTCCCTCCCTGTCCACCCAATTTTCAATCGTCCCCCTCCTCCAATCACCCCTCCTACCACCTCCTGTCCCCCTAACCAGCCCAAGAAGTACACTGATGAAATGCTCAAGTCAGCGTTCCGAGCTCATATCCGGCTGGTCGCCGATGCTGAGCACCCACTTGTTGTCTTCCAGGGCCTTCTGCTAAAGTTCATGGTTTTCCCAGGTATGTTGATGCCATGTTATTATTGTCATTGTTGCTGTTGCTGTTTTTGATTCAGCTGGCATACTGGTGTTTTCCCTTCATCCCTGTGCCATGGTATGCAGATGTTGTGTAAAGTGATGTGCGATAAGTACTGTCAATGGTATGTGGTGTGTTTCTCTCACGCTAAAGACTAGGTTTGATCGCTTTTAGCTTGTTAGTAGTGGACGTGCTGTGTGGCTTTATGTTTGTCTTGTCCTGGGTGGTGATTTTCTGTGAGAGATTTCCATGGTTTAGAAATTGGAAGCAGATGGTTGCAGGGCACCACTGGTAGGTCCTACTTCTTTACTTTCCATCTTTTGTTTCTCTTCGTTTGTCTTCTTACTTCTTTCTCCAGCACTAAATGAACATTATTATGTCGATGTGCTTCTATTTACTTGAACCAAAAAAGAAGAAATTGGAAAAGACATGAACAGAGTTGTGACAGTTTCTTTACTCCTTGGCCATTTTGTTGGTGTGGTTTAAGGAAGTGCAAGACGGATAGCTGGCAAAAGACAGTGTTGGAGATGTAGTGGGCGTGTGCTGCATGTGTGTTCTTTTCTGCGCTGACAGTGACAGTGAGGCTTAGTTAGATGGGAAAATGTAGCCCTTGGCCTTCGTTAAAAAAGACCAGTGTTTTTGTCCAGGTTAGACTCTGCATTGTGCGAACATTTTCTAAGTGGGAAGCTGCCTTTGTAACATCCATTTGTTTGTGTGACATTGCTGCTTTTTAACACTTTCCCTACCACGAACCTGCGGCTCGCGGACCTGTCCTCGCTGGACCGAGAGCCGCAAAATACGGCTCGAGTGGCTCGCTATCTATTCCAATCCAGTAATAAAAAGACAAGAAATTCTCGGCCGATCCACATTTTCAAAATGATAGAATAGACTTCCTGTTAGCAGATACGAAAGAAAATATAGCACTGAGAGGCGATTTTTAGTTATTCCAGCGCTTTTTTTTGTCTCCTTCGAAACGTAAATATGTGGAAAAAAAGCGCTCCCCTGACTTCAGTATAATATGTCTCATATTTTCACTTCTATATTAGGTACTTATACATAACTTTCAGCATTTCTGTGCTTTACTTTAGGCAACCTACTTGGGAAGTTTGAATGATGCTGCTGTTGTACTTTTTTAGATGACCTTTCAAAGCTGGAAAATCGTTGATATCATATGACGCCTTCGATATTGCATAGTCACTTTTAGAAACCCCAAAGTAATATAATTGGAATAAATCTTCAATATCTTATCGCCATCTGATAGATTATTGTTTTACCTTCAGTTTGATAGGCCATAAGATATGGTTTGAGTGTGTTTAGTTGGATGCTTTGACATTTTCCTTTGGTGGGGTAGGGCGTAAAAATAGGTCAGGGAAAAGCCCTGGGCCAGTGTTGGATTTTGGCCCGGTAGGAAAAGAGTTAATTATAAGGTTAAAGTTATTTAGAAGACACAAAGAAAAGCATAAAGGGTCAAAAGGGTATTAATGAACACCCTTTGTGCTCAGTGATGGCTCGCATCACCCCAGGACCCCCCTTTCAGTGGCGCGGTTATCAATCGCGCGTTAAAAAAGTGATTTTGGCCAAAAATGGCATTTGACAGAGTCTTGCACTGAGCTGTGGAAATGAGGTCAGAGACTCCATGCGTCTAGCGTCGTGCCTGCTGCATGCCTTTTCAATCAGTTGTGTGTTGGTGGGGGGGGGGGAGGAAGGATCCGTGGGCTGTATGTGTCATGATGTGATGCAACGTGATATGCTGCGTCATGATGTAGTATGTCATGATGTGCTATGTCATGATCTATTGTGTCATGATGTAGTGTGTCATGATATAGTGTGTCATGATATAGTGTGTCATGATATAGTGTGTCATGATATAATGTGTCATGATATAGTGTGTCATGATGTGTCCTGTGTCATGATGTAGTGTGTCATGATGTAGTGTGTCATGATGTAGTGTGTCATGATGGGCTGTGATGTGATGTGTGCTGTGTCATGATATAGTGTGTCATGATATAGTGTGTCATGATATAGTGTGTCATGATGAAGTGCGTCATGATGTGCTGTGTTGTGATGTGTGCTGTGTCATGATATAGTGTGTCATGATATAGTGTGTCATGATGAAGTGCGTCATGATGTGCTGTGTTGTGATGTGTGCTGTGTCATGACCTGTGAGTGTACTTCTGTCCTTAGGCAAATATCTGAGAGCTGTAATGATGAAGCTGGGCCACGGTATGTATTTCCTGGGGGGGTGTGAGGTGTAAGTCGTTGTTGACCTCCTGTTGTATGGTCAACTCTTTATCCTCCTCCTCGTCACTTTTTCTGCCCTGGTTATTGGCGCAAGCCTGTCACACCAGCCGGCAGTTTGTGCGGCCTTGTCTTCTGTGTAGTCCCAGCATGAGCATCTCCAGTATCTCCTGACCTTTACAGACATTCATTAACCCAGTGTTTGTTTTGATTTTATATTTTGTTTTTTTATTTTTTTGTTTTTTGTTTGTTTGTTTGTGAAAGAGAAGTCGCACCATTGAACAGCTAGAGTAAGTTGTTCCGTTTCATGTTCCAAGAGATTATCTGGAAATTTGGATCAAATGAAAGTTCTTGAATGAAAATCTCTTCAAGACTGAAAAGTTTCTCCGCGATATTGTCCTTCTGAGTCCTCTGAAACTACACCGACAAAGTTTTTAAAGAGTGTCTCTGCCTTCAGAGCTCTCGTGGGAACAAGTAGTTAGTAGCTTTATAGACAAGTCACTACCTTAGAATTACAAAGTTCTATCTTGTGGGTGGTTGACGGGTGCCCTGGTGTGGTTTGTTTCTTCTTTCCTATCAAATATCTATCGTCCTTATCTCCCCTTCTTCTTTTTTATGTTTGTTACTCTCTTGTAACACCTCTAATCTTCTGGCGCTCATATGACCTTATGCAGTTGCAAGTGCCGTAAAACCTCTACTAGAAACTAAAAAGTTCTATCTTACATTTTTGGCTGTTTTGAGTTACAAAGACTATGAGGTCAGAAACTGAATGTTCTATCTGCTCTACCAAAATCATGTAAGATTGTTCAGAGTCGTTATCAAGATATTCATTCAAAGAATTGCATTTGAAAAAGCTTGACATGATGGAAAACTCAGAATTTTTTACGTCAAATTTCTCAAAACTAGTTTCTGAACAGATAGAACTTCGTAATTCTAGGGTAGCGAAGGGTCAAGATCCTTAACACTGTGATGTTATGTCATGGAGGGTTCAGGACATGGGTTTTATTTTTAGATGATATCAATGTAAAATATCAATGCTCTGAATTTTTAAGATACTGTTCCTATGTGGCCTAGTGAGTTTTATCATCAGAACAAAGAAATCAAGCTTCTAGCTGTGGTAAAAAACAGAAAAAAAAGTTGTTTCATGGTGCGACTGGACATTTCAAGTGCATGAGTCATTGTCTTTTTGTGAAAGTGATTTTTTGGTTGGAAATCTTCTCTCCTTACTTTCATCTTTTGTATGGAGAGAGTTTGCAGCTCATGTATCAAGCATGAATGCTGCAATTTGCACCTATAATTGAAAAAAATGTACGTGCTTGTCTTTACGGCTGGTGCCTCATGCTACATGAAACTGCAGTGTCTGTTCTGTTGGTGTAGAGCTCGGCACATTCTTACCTGTAGATCTTGCGCTGTACATCAGTACCTCAGTGACTCTCAATATAGCTGTGCTTTTTTTTGCTTTTTTAAAGCAGTGACTAAGAAATTTCTCTCATTTTGTTTCTCTGCTCAGAATGACTGTATTGTACAGAATTGCTTCAGCTGTGCTTTTGGGCAGGGGCAGGGATACATGCATGAGCAGAGAGTGAGTGAGAGAGAGAGAGAGAGAGAAAGAGAGAGAGAGATAGAGAAAGAGAGAGAGAGAGAGATTGCCTTGACTGAAAAAGGTTATTTGTATAGGATGTGCACACAAAACACTTGCCAGAATGAAATATTGTACTATGATATTAAGCATGAAAATCACTTTGTCTTAAAGTGGATTGACGCCACAGTTTTCGTTTGAACCTGTGGCCACTTTTCGAAATGTCACCATATTCATGTTTAGAGCTGAAATTCCTTCTCCTGGGCATCAGGTGGTTGGCACAAGTAGCTTATGTAGCATATAACTCAGACCCTGCGTCTTGCATTATGTCTTTAAAGTCCATCCTTGACAGGTTCTGTCCCTTTTCCTCTTTCGTTTGTGATTGGAGAGCACCACTGGTATGTCATACCTCTTTACTTTTTCTCTGGCCTCCTCAGTCTGTCTGCCTGTCTGTCTTGTTCTTTCCCAAATTTAAATAACCGAACCTTGACGATGCTGATTCAGTCTTCTCTTTCCTCAGACTAAACTGAACTAAGTCATTTCAATTTGACTAAAATCGTCTTTTTTTGGGGTTTCTTTTCTAAATGCTGTGCGGGTCTGGTTTGAAATCATACCAGGGTACTTTCGAGTCTTCTTATTAATTATTAGCTCTTTCGCTAGGTCTAGCGAGATGTGAAAATATTCATGTAATTCATCTGCTTCTGGTCTTGTATTCTTCAGCTGAGTCTGAAATATTCTGAAATCTGTTACGACATGGTGAAATCAGGCACTCATCAATTTTTGGACATGTTGAATTTTTTGTACTGTCTTAAAGCTTGTTTACTTGTCTTGCACTTAGCGAAAAAAATACCTATTTACCGTAAATAGAAGTCGAGATATTTGCAGTTGAAGGAGATGGGGGTTATCTGGTGTCAGAGGTAAAATTAGCAAGAAAATGGCGGCCAAAGTTTGGTGACTTTTACGTTTTTCAGTGCCTTTGATCGTTTTTCAGGAAACGATCAGGAAACGACAAATGCTGTTTTTGGGACACCTGAATAGACATATAGGTCTTGAACATCTAGCTCTCACTGGCAAAATCGAATGCAAACGAGGCAGGAGTAGGCCCAGATCAACCTACTTAAGAAACTTAAACAAATGAGAAAGGTCCGGGAAACGTAGCTTTTTTAAGAGCATCTGATCTAAGGAATGAATGGAGAACCATAATCGCCGATGTCTGGCGCAGATCTGGCTCTAGATGATGATGATGATCATTATTCAGTAAAATCCACTCAGAAATGTGTTTTTAAATAGACATAAAAGGTGTTGAGACAAAAAATAAATAAAGGAAAAATTTGCCAATGGCCAGAAAAATGCCGGTTTCTTTGCTTCTTTTATTCTGACGAGCGCCTGATTTCACCACGCTGCCTTACTAAAAAAATGTTGGAAAATGAAAATTCCTAAACTAGTGCGACATCAGCCTTCTTCAGGTTGCTCTATGTCCACACTGCTAAAAGGAAGCTAAAGCAGTGAAGCCTATGGGGAAAGAAATAAAGAGGGTGAATCTCTTAATAAGCTATTTATATTTGTGCAAGTTATTAATTAAGTTCCATTTTTTAACCAAAGAAGAGGCAATGAGGATATGTTCGAGATACACGACTGTATAAGAAAGCGAAAGTGTTTTTGGAGCTGTTCTGCACAAGTGACTTGTCCACATGCGAGGTCCACGCAATTTCAGTATTGTGAGAGCTGTGACTAACCAATTTCTTTCCTGATGTAAACATTCATTTTTTTTTTTCAATTTTCATTCATAACTTTTATTGGGACTTCCTCATTGTTGTTGTAGAAGTGCTACACCCCCCACCTCCCCACCCCAATTAAATTAGATATAGATCTAGATTAGGTTATTCACGAGGTAGAGCAGGCTGCTATGTCGCAAAAGCTGTCTACCATGACTTACAAAGCCATTCACACAGCTGCTTTGCTCGTTTTAGCTTTTGTTTATTTGTTATTCTAAAAAAAACCCAACTGATTTGAGAAAATAATTTGGACAGTTTTTTTAGTTCGATACAGTGAGTAACACATATTTGAATCGCCATATAAGGCTTTCTTGGACTTGTTTTGGCTGAAGAATTTTTTTATGGTGACCACCTGTAAGGCTCGGTCTTTCTAGAGGTGGGTGTTGACGCGGTAGGTCCTGTCTTTTGAACAATCTCACTGTGCTGGGAGAGATGTTTTACTCTCTTGTGATCGTAGGGAGGTGCACCGATAAAAGACTGAGAGGCTTTTTGTAGCATTTTATCGATGACTTGTGTTTATGCTCTATGGTGCTGCTGGTTCTGTAATGGACCAAATGTGGAAGAGTGCGGTCAAAAGTGGCACAAAGTCCAGAATTTTCTCAGATTTCTTGGAAGTTTTGCTGTCCTGTCGGTGTCCTCCACCCTCAAAATGACCGGTACAATCTTGGACTTGTCGTTTTATTTCAGGAAATGTGAAGCTAGATTTACAAATGTCTTTTTTGTATGTAGGCTGGGCAATAGTTCTGTGAGGCTGGCTCTTTTTTTTCCTTTGATTTTTTAGGCAAAGGCACTAATTGTATGATAAAAATGTAGTTTTTGTACACTAAGGAACCCATAGTTTAGTGTGTACATCACAAACTCTTGTGATCATTATAATTTTTCTCAAAGTTCCATGATGGAATTTTGTTTTTTGAACTTTGAATGTCTCAAATGTCACACTCGTTTGATTGTTACTAATTTTTTTTCTTCGTTTCTCTCTGGAAATTTGTTCTTTGTTGAAGAGATAAAATCGTTTGAAAATTCTTACTTTTTTTTTTTACATATTTGAAGCTGAAAGATGAGGATGTCAATTGCCAAATTTATTTGATTGTTGCAGTTACGTTTCATGAATTTTTTTTGAACTTTCACGAAGGGTCTTTGTGTACTCTGAAATTTGTTGCAGAATTTTGAATATCAGAAAGAACAAATTCATTAGTACAACATAATTCTCCCCCCCCGCTGTCCCAGGTGTCTCGGTGGAAGCCCAGATCACTTTCTTCGGTGAGAATGACGTGAGCAGCGAGAAGGGCGTGACCATGCTGAGTGAGATGAACATCGACTCGGTGCGCGTCCTGGAGGTGGTGCGTGACAGCCGCGAGGACAAGCTCAAGGTCGTCAACATGCTGCTGTCTTACTCCAGTGTGGCCGACTTTGACCCCGTGCCCCCCACCGTCAAGCTCAAACACCTGGGGTCAGTAGCCAGACGGCCTTCAATTTATTCATTTATTTAGTTTTTTCACCATGGCATTTTTTAATGTCAGGTTTTTGTCAGGGAGAGAGTAAACTTGATCCGAAGATTTTTGTGTCCAAACCCCATTTTTGGAAACAGTTTTAAAAAAAAAAGAGTTACATTTTACTGCTCAGGAAATATGTTTGTACATGTAAGATTATGATGATAATTATCAATGATTTGAAAACTATATATTATCTGTATATATGTGTGACAATGATTATGTATTGCAGCCCTTGTGATAAAAACAGCTACCCCACAAAAATTTCAATAAAAATTTTTTGTGGTGAATCGATTGTAAATTATCCATTACACACGTTTAGTTCAAAATAGGTCTGAATTCTGATTAGAAAAACGTTATAAATAAAGACAAACAACCTCGCTGGTGGCCAGGTTGTTAGGTGATGGAACAAGATAAAGTTTTTGCTTCTCCTGTAAAATTCACCCAGCCAGGGTTAGCCGGTCTTATCACAAGGACGTGCTGACAAAGACAAAATCTATTACTTCTCAAAATCCAAGAATGGGAATATCGGCTGAAAATCGACACTGGGGTCACATTTACAGATTTTCAATTGATGCCAATTTGTTCAAGTCTACCGTGTATTTTATTATTCCATACTAACATATTGTACAAACTCCAAGTTGATGTATCAATTTCCATAAGGCTAAAATCTGAGAAGTAACTCATTTTGTCAGCACACCTCACAAAATATGTTATTAATAAGAGAGAGAATTCTGGAAACCTTTCTCCATACTTTGCTTTGTCTGACAGCGGGTTTGGCGGCCTGGCTCGGCAGGCGTTGAACCACCTCCACACCAGCATCGGGGCTCGCCCTCTGAGCCGCAGCTGCTTCATGGCCCGGGCCGGCCTCAGCCACGGCCTCCTGCTCATCACCGGCCCCAAAGGCTGCGGGAAAACCTCGCTGGCCAAGGCTCTGTGTCGCAAGATGTTCCACTCCCCGGTCATGGCTCACATCACCTTCATCGACTGCAAGGTGCTCAGAGGTAATTCTTCCTTCCTTTCTTCCTTCCTCTGGCTGGCCTCTGTTAGGAGGGCGGCAGTCTGCCGCAGGCAGACAGGTAAGAGGTAACCTCGTGTGGCCTCGTCCAGAGTACATCTGGGCCAGGTCTTGCATTGTTCTCCATGAGTGAGCCTCGATGTGCTTCCCCCCTCAGGCACTCGTACAGTCGTGCACTCGCGCTTTAAAGAGGTAAATTTTCTTCTTCTTCCTTCTTCATGGTAGATGGGGAGGACTGAAGTGTTGATGAACTCCGCAGTGATTCCTAGGTCTAGAGGGCTGCCATACAGCTTCTGGTGCATGTCCCTGGGGTTGAGGCCTGTATTTTTGTCTTGCATGCTGTATCCAGTAGTGGGCAGTCCTGGAGAATATACTGTGCATCTTGGTGGCTGGCACCACAAGGACAGTCGGGTCCACCGCCGACCTTGAGTCGGGAGAACATGTGATGTTTTAGCCTGTATATGACAGGGGAGTGTTGACCATGAAGTATAAACGTAGCCTTTGTCCCACTCCTTGATCATATTCTGCACTATGCTTATAGAAGTATGTTTCTGTGTTTTACTGTTACAATATATAGAATTTTTAGTGTTTTAAAGAAAAGTTTGCTTAATAAATTACACACCAGTCTTCCAAATTCTTCCGTTGTAAGGAAGATTGGGCGACATGTTTTTTTGTTTTTGTTTTTAAATTCTGTACTTCACTATCTTATTTCTTTTTTGTGTTTATCAATTCTCATACAAAATATTTCTCTTTTGTAAAAATGTATTCTTGTAGAACAGGCAAACAGACAAATATTTTTTGTAAAACTTTTGTGTCCAAAGTTCTGATGCACTCACATGCTCTTGACGAATAAATGTTTGGCTTTGGTACTACAACATAAGCGTTAAGCACAAATTTGTACAAACTTCCAACTTATAGAAAAAAAAACTTTCATTCATTTCCATAAAGAAAAGAGTACACAGATGTTTAGCAAGCTTTAAAGCTTCAAACTTTATTTGTTCTGAAAAGTAAAAAAAAAAGCAACCCAAAACTCCTTGCTTCCTCTCAGAGCGAAACATAATAATATTATACCTGCTGAAGGCTGAGACACTTCTACCACAGTCATTAGTGAAGAGAAAAGTCATTTTTTGTTGTTTTCAAGAAGAATAGAATCATGATTTTGACAAATTATGTGCAGGTCTATGTTTAGAAAGAACAAAAAAAGCATCATGTCATTGCAGATTTTCAAAATATGACCCCTTTTTGCTCCCTCATCTGATATATTGCTGATTTATGGCATGTTGAACATCACAACAAAGCAACAAATCAAATGGTGTTGTGCTCAAATCTTGACCATCTTTCATCCTGTCAGGGCAGTTAGCGGGTGCTCTGGTGTGGTTTGTTCCTTCTGTCCTTTCAAACATCTACCATCCTTATCTCCTTTTTTTTTTGTGTTTCTTACTCTCTTGTAACACCTCAAATCTTTGGCATTTATATGACCTTATTGCGGTGCAAGTACTGTAAAACTCTTACCAAAACCTAAACTTTCACCCTGCAGGAAAAACTGTGTCCAACATCCAGAAGATCCTGGAGTCTGTGTTTGATGAGGCGGCGTGGCGGGAGCCGTCGGTGGTTGTCTTTGACAACCTGGACGTGATTGTACCGGCGCCCAGCGGGCCGGAGAGCGAGATGAGCGGGGAGGCGCTCTACTCCGCCAAAAATGCCCAAGGTATGTCAGCAAAACAAGCTTTGTGGAGGGAAAATTGTGTATGCTTTAAAAGAAGCCACGAGTATTTGGAGTGAAAACAGTTCTAAATTTTAAAATAATTTTGCAGGGGGGGTTTTTTGCTGGGTTTTTTTTCTTTACTTTATTTTTCCGATCCAGCAGTCATCAGAGGTTGAGCCTTGCAGCCTGTTGATGCCCAAGAATATACAGGTTTTTATCAGCAGTGTTTTGTTGTTGTATAGAGTATTTCCGATATCTGGGGAGGCACGTAGGTAGGTACTACACAGGTCGCTAAGTGCAGGGCAGATAAAGAGGTGATATGATACTGTTTCATCCTGGCAGTCACACAGCGGGGCAGTCAGGTGGGGTACCGGTTTTTTTAATAGATTAGAAAAATATATTTTTGGGTGTCCTTGACATCTTTCTCGGCTGTGGTCCAGTTCTCCAGGGCCTGGTCAAATACGAGATGGAGAACAACAGTCATGTGACGGTCATGGCCACGGCGACGGCCCGCTCCTCCCTTCACCCGAGCCTGGTGGCCTCTCGAGGGGACCACATGGTGCAGTGTGTCGTCGACATCGGCTCGCCGGACAAGGTAAGATGTCGGTCCGTCACAATGGGAGGTTTCTGCCCCGTTGCCATGAAGATTTGAGAAAACTTAAATCGAAATACAGAAGAGAAACAGATGAATGTACAGGCCAGCGGGCAGACCAGAAGGCTATTTGGCAACCATGCGAATGGTGTACACTTTTAGGGTTTTATGCACACCCTAAAGGATAAAATTGTCAAACTGCAATTTTCTGCTTTCTGTCCTATTAGTCTCTATTTACGTATATCTTTACTAGGTCCCTGGCTCAACCTGTTCCTCCCTCTCCTACATAGAACTACTTTAATAAGTGCATCAGGGAACAGCTAGAAAGAACTGATTGCATCATAGCGCAAGGCCTGAGGGGTAAAAGCCCATTTACCTTATACTACTGTATTCTCAAGAGCAATATTGGAGCTCATTCATTTATGATAAAGCTTAGGCAAGCATTAAGACCTCTGATTCTATGTGTAGTTCTGATAATAGGATGGGTGAGGAGAATCACTTTTTGTTCTGAAACACCCCAGGAGGAAACTGAACGAGGGTCGCTTACAAATGTCTAGCCTATTTAACCCCCATGGACCCCACAGAGGGCCATATTGTGTAGGGTTTTTTTTTTTTTTTAAATACTAACATTTTGGTACAATGCGTCATTGAAAAATCTTTTTCGTCCTCTCGTATGGAACTATTTTTTTATTTTAGTAAATCCAACTTGAGTGTCAACTCTTAATAATATAAGATTTCATTGAAGTAAATGTAGTGTTCAGAACTATCTTTTTGTGGTTTTAGAGATTTATGGACCAAAGCAAACCTTCAAGATGTGCTAGAATGTTACCAGATTTACTAAGGTCCATTTTGTGTGTTGGCCGGACAATGATTCTCTGAGGCTTTTTTTGTGACTAAAGGTTCTCGATTTGTTGGCAAAATATTGTACACTGACTGCTTAGTGTGAGACTATCTATTGCTGTTCTGAAATGTGAAGTATGATGGATTCTTATATGGCGCAGTCGAAATGTACTTTGTAGACACCCATTGTCAATATTTTTATTATTATTATTCTTAATAGAAATTGTAAAGCACATATAGCTTGCTATTTATCGGGAATTTGCTCTCTACAAATGCTATTTAATTATTTATTATTATTATTATTATTATTATTATTATTATTATTATTATTATTATGGATGGGACCGAAACCAACACCTCCACTCGACATCCTAAGGATACCAGAGGAAGAAAAAAGTGAAAAAGTAAAAGAAGGTAGTAATATTCTTATCCTCTGTTATTTCATCACCTGATCCTTTTCTTCTGATCCACCAGGAAGCGCGAGAGAAGATATTGACCTCCATCCTTCAGAATCACAGCTGCATCAGCAACGAGACAGTCAGTGTCCTTGACATGATGCCCATCGCCGCCAAGACAGAGGCCTACGTGGCCCGCGACCTTGAGGGTCTGGTCAACAGGGCGGTCCACACCCGTCTTGTCCACAACAGAGACGGTCAGTGAGGGGGTGATGCTTGCAATAATACTGTGATAGATGTTTGTGAGGTGTGTGTGGGTGGGTGTGTGGGTGTGTGTTTAGGTGTGTATGTGGGTGTTTGTGTGCGTGTGTGTGTGTCACATTAGTGTTTGTGTGTGTGTGTGGGTGTGTTTGGGTGTGTGTGTGTGTGTGTGTGTGTGTGTGTGTGTGTGTGTGTGTGTGTGTGTGTGTGTATGTTAGTGTTTGTGTATGTGTGTGTGTGTATGTTAGTGTTTGTGTGTGTGTGTTGGTGTTTGTGTGTGTGTGTGTGTGTGTGTGTGTGTATGTGTGTGTGTGTTGGTGTTTGTGTGTGTGTTTGTGTGTGTGTGTGTGTGTGCATGAGAGAGAGAGAGAGAGAGACAGAGAGACAGAGAGAGACAGAGAGACAGACAGAGAGAGGGAAAGAGAGAGAGAGAGAGAGAGAGAGAACATGGGGTCTCAGGGGAAGATATTGCTTGTAGAGTGAAAAGTGAAGTTGAAATTGTGTTCTTCCTAAAAATAAATTAGTTACAAAGTGATAACTTTGCTGCTGCATTGGAAAAGGAAGCATTGTTTTGCAGTTATAAATAGACTGTCATTATCCGCCTTGGTAAAGTCGAGAGACAGTTCCAGTAGTCTCTCTTATACGTATATCTCTACATTCTAATGCCTCCTCAGCTTGCAAGCAACAGATCACCTTGAGCCTGGAAGAGTTTGAGGAAGCGCTGTGTGCCTACAAACCTGTTTCCATCCGGAACATTCAGCTTCACAAGGCTGGAGAGCTTGGCTGGGAGGATGTGGGAGGTCTGGCGGGTGTCAAGTCTGCCCTGGTTGAGACGCTTCGATGGCCAACCAAGGTAAGGATTTTTAATTTAAAGTTAGATTATATGCCGTAGACATGCTGACAAAATGAGTGACTTCTTTCAATCCATTAATGGAGATATCGGCTAAAAATTAACACTGTTGTAAAATTTGTAGATTTTCAATTGATGCCATTTTCTTCAACTTTAACTTGTCTTTTCCTATTTTTACTTATAAATTGTGAAAACTCTATCTTTAAATGTAATGTATCTATTTCTTTAGGGCTTAAATCCGAGAAGTAACTCTTTTATCAGCACATGTCACATATCTAAATTGAAACAGATAATTTTGAAGGCATGTTTTTTTTTAAAAGATTCTAATTTTTAATTTTTTAAAATGAATATTTAAACATCATTTGTATCTGTCAATTATCTTTATCTGTCTGTGGGGATACTTTGTCTCCTTCTGCCTGGACTAGTCTTGATTCAATCAGAGTTGAAGCAACCTGCCCTGTAAATAAACCAAATGTCACGCCAAAGGGCTAGAACTCAGATGGCTGCTTGATCGGAGCAGTAAAGTAAAGTAAATGAACCAAATTGTGTACAGTGCAGCCTCTCTATAATGACCTTGGATATAACGACATCCTCTGTTTAACGACATGGTGCCCAGGTCCCGATTTTTTCCTTATACATCATTATAAATTTTTGGTTGCCTCTCTATAACGACAACTCTGTACAACAACATTTTTTTCTGGTCCGGACGATATCGTTATAGAGAGGCTGCACTGTAGTTGGAGATGTGAAATATAATAATGATAATAAATAATAAATTGCATTTGTATAGCGCATATCCCCGCTCAACAGCAGGCTCTATATCAATGCGTTTTACACTATATTATTACCCCAGCAGACCATAGAACACTCCGAAACATTCTCTGCTTCCCGGGTAGCATACAGTGCAAGCAGCTGATTAAGCCCTCAAACACTAACTAACTGACAAGATCTTTGGCTGTCTATAGCCGGGTACCCATTCCCACCGAGGTGAAGTGAGGAAAATTTGTGTAAAGTGCCTTTCCCAAGGACACAACGTCGGGCCCCCTGACGTGATTCGAACCCACGACCTTATCTAGTCTACATTGTACACTTTCCGGCACGTCTCCAGTACCCACAGCTGTTCTCCTCCTCCCCGCTGCGGCTACGCTCGGGCATCCTGCTGTACGGCGCGCCAGGCACGGGGAAGACTCTTCTGGCCGGGGTGGTGGCCAAGGAGTGCGGGCTCAACTTCATCAGCATCAAGGTACGGTGGCTCCAACACTTTCCCAACTCAACACCCCTCCATCTCATTAACAAAATACTTTTAAAAGATAGGTGGTTGTAGGGTGCTGTTGATAACCTTCTACTTCTCTCCCACACCTCAGCTGTTTCTGTCTCTCTTGCTTTATCCCAATATGTTGATGTTCTTATTTTAACTCACACAAATTAAATCAACTTCATCAGCATCAAGGTACGGTGGCTCTAACACTTTTGGCCCTGGTTTCAGGTGTAATTGAATTGAATCGAATTCAGTTAGATTAAACTAAGTTCTATTCACTTCAATTCAAGTGAATTCAGTTCAGTTTGGTTCAGTTCAGTTCAATTCAGTTCAGTTTAATTTAATTCAGTTCAGTTCAATTCAGTTCAGTTTAATTTAATTCAGTTCAGTTCAATTCAGTTCAATTCAGTTCAGTTTAATTTAATTCAGTTCAGTTCAATTTGGTTCAATTCAGTTCAGTTTAATTTAATTCAGTTCAGTTCAATTCAGTTCAGTTCAGTTCAGTTCAATTCAGTTCAGTTTAATTCAATTCAATTCAGTTCAGTTCATTTGCACTTCATTGATCTTCATGGGGAAATTTTGATTTAAATGGCAAACATACAAATATATACACATAATTAAACACAAAAATATACATTATACTTTATCAATCCTCATAAGGAAATTTTGATTACATTGGTAAGCATACATATATAAATGCTTAATTAATTAAACACACAAATATAAATATTCAAAGAATACTAAAACCACAATAATACGCCAATGCAGAACAAATTTACAAATATGCCATTGATGGTCACCACTGTGCTGTGCCCAGATTTTTTTAGCCCGGGTTATTGTGTTTTACTCAAAGACACACCCCAGTGACCTCAAATCTAAAACTCTCACTGAAACAATAGGTATAAAGAGTTGAAAGAATGATTTTATTAGTCGCTTGACCCTTTTATAATTAGGCTGGGCATATTAACATTGTTTCACTCTTTTGATCTGTCTGTTCTTCCACTGTTTTGATCTGTCTGTTCTTCCACTCTTTTGATCTTTCTGTTCTTCCACTCTTTTGATCTGTCTGTTCTTCCACTCTTTTGATCTGTCTGTTCTTCCACTCTTTTGATCTTTCTGTTCTTCCACTGTTTTGATCTGTCTGTTCTTCCACTGTTTTGATCTGTCTGTTCTTCCACTGTTTTGATCTGTCTGTTCTTCCACTGTTTTGATCTGTCTGTTCTTCCACTCTTTTGATCTTTCTGTTCTTCCACTCTTTTGATCTGTCTGTTCTTCCACTCTTTTGATCTTTCTGTTCTTCCACTGTTTTGATCTGTCTGTTCTTCCACTGTTTTGATCTTTCTGTTCTTCCACTGTTTTGATCTTTCTTTTCTACCTTTATTTTGATTTTTTTTTTTGTAAGTGGTTTACAGTGCTCGCAACTGCATACGGTTATATGAGCGCATGATACAGATTAAACCTTTTCAGTTGGTAGGAAATTTTGAATTTTGCCTGGGTGGGGGCCAAAGCCTACTCTTATCGATATTAGACCACCAAGGGATCTTTGATGGGCACAACTTGCACTCTGGACCTCGGAGATTTTTCGCCCTTGTCCGAGAAGGCTAGATGTAGATCTTTCCTACCAGAAGATCAGGGGTGTGGCTGAAAGACAGCGGTAAGAAGGAGCCAAGAAGTAGCAGTAGAAAGGCTGCAGAAAGAGTCAGGAGCCCAGAGGAGGGGGCAAAGCAGATTAGGGGGTGGGGGCAGAAAGTGGAGACGAAATAAGTCAACAGAACATTTGCTAAAGAGCAGGAAAGGAGGTTAAAGGAAACAATTTTAGAGAAGAAAATTCATCTGTCGCTACCCGGATTCGAACCCTGGACCTTTGAATGAGAGGTGAACACCTTAACCTCTAGGCCATGAGAGCCCCTGTTTTGATCTTTCTGTTCTTCCATTGTTTTCATCTGTCTGTTCTTCCGTTATTTTGATCTGTCTGTTCTTCCGTTATGTTCATCTATCTGTTCTTTCCCTGTTTCCGTTATGTTGATCTGTCCGTTCTTCCGTTATGTTGATCTTTCTGTTCTTCCACTGTTTTGAGTGGCGTAGGTAGCCTAGTCGTTTGGCTACCGGACTTGTAATCGTGAGAATGCGAGTTCGGGGGTTTGAGCCTCAGCTCGGTCCGACGTTGTGTCCTTGGGAAAGGCACTTTATACGAACTTCCCACTTGGCTCGGTCCTATCGGAGACGGACGTTAAACTAGGAGGTCCTGCCCCTTAAATAACCTAATAGTGTTGATAGGGGCGTTAAACCTATACCATTTTCACCACTGTTTTGATCTTTTTGTTCTTCCTTAAATTTCCGGGAAGATGCACATACCTCAATACTGTTCAAAGCAGTGAGCCTAGGTCATGTGAACATCAGTGTCCATTGTTCTTCTATTTCCTTCCCCACCACCACCACCAGGGTCCTGAGCTGCTGAGCAAGTACATCGGAGCCAGCGAGCAGTCGGTCCGGGACCTGTTCATTAGGTGAGGTCTCACTGCCCACTTTGTATTCTGGTCATTGTGTAGTAGTTGAGGTGGTAAATGTCATTGTTTTAGGCCCCCATTGACACAATTTAGATGTTATGTCCAGTAAAACATGTATTAGTGTGTGGATTTTACTGGAAAAACGTTTATGAATGGCAACAAAAAAATGTAAATTTTCAGTTTCAGTTTCCAAGTACACTCAAGCTTTGGAAGTCACCAAACTTTGGTGGATATTTTCTCGTTAATTTTATCTGTGACACCATGAGTATCCCAACTCCCTTAGTTGCAGATATCTCGACTTCTGTTTAAGATAGATGGATGGGTTTTTTTTTCATCAAAAGCAAGACAAACGAACGAGCTTAAAGATAATATCTGTAACTCTATAGGCCCAAAAATTGATGAGTGCCCGTTTCCACAGTGTCATAACACCTATGATAAAATCCCTTATGATGATGCAGTTGATTTACTTTCCCTATTAACACTTTTAATACCGACAGCGATTTTAGTCACCAGGCTGTAGTATGCGCTCATTACCGCTGGCGACTTTAATCGCCAACTCAACCTGGCACACTGAACATAATTAAATAAACAGAGCCACTGCACTGAAGTAAATACCAAAGGAAGTCACTCTACTATAATATTATGACAGCTGAATGGTTGATGAACCTCTGTGAATTTTTAAAGTGTGTTTCTTGGACTGCATGCAATGGTTTTTAAAATTTTTGGAAAATTCTACCATGGCTTCAGTGTTCTAAAATGGTGCGGTATTTGAAGGGGTTTTTTTTACTTCATGAGCTCTCCGTACTGTAAGTGTTAATGAATGCTCATCTAAGTGTAGCTCTGGGCTCTATACTTTATGATACAGGTAACATACTGTTGAAAAATAGGACTACGTGCGCACCCCTCATCTTCAACTACTTCCCTCTGTCTGTCTGTCTGTCTGTCTGTCTGTCTGTCTGTCTGTCTGTCTGTCTGTCTGTCTGTCTGTCTGTCTGTCTGTCTGTCTGTCTGTCTGTCTGTCTGTCTGTCTGTCTGTCTGTCTGTCTGTCTCTCCCCCTCTCCCTCCCCCTCCCCCTCCCCCTCCCCCTCCCCCTCCCCCTCCCCCTCCCTCTCTCCCCCCCCCTCTCTCTCTCTCTCTCTCTCTCTCTCTCTCTCTCTCCCTCCCTCCCTCCATCAATCTCCATACAGTGAATTCCGAAGAATGTGGGCAAGATAAGAAATCTTCCAATGTTCATGTTCATGACTGAGTGTCTACAAAGGCATGAGAAAGGAGAATTCTTTGCTCTTCTGGCAGAAGTCATTTTCTTTTGTGTGCTACTGAAGCAAACTTTCTCGAGAAAGTACTGAAAATTGGAAATAAAGATGGTCAAATTGCATGTTTTGTCCAGGCTTAAGTGAGTTCTGCATATTTTATCAGACGTCACTGGTTCAGAAAATCTCCTCTTTTGTGAAACTAAATAATAAATATTATGAAGATTCAACCCCCCCGTTTTTGTGACTTTGTATTTCAGAGCTCAGAGTGCCAAGCCTTGCATTCTTTTCTTTGACGAGTTTGATTCTATAGCCCCAAAGTAAGTACTCAACGTTTAAAGTTGTTTTGTATGCTTTGAAATAATCTTATTGTATGCTTTGAAATAGTCTTTTTGTATGGTTTGAAATAGACTTTTTGTATGGTTTGAAATTGTATATGTATACAATGATATTTGGGAATCATCTTTACAGCAGACCTTTTATCGCATGGAAATTGCCGACAAGAGTTAGATCCATGCTTTCCTTGTGACAAAACACAGGTATAATATTATGGGGAATATTATATATCAGTCCACTATTGAAATGAGACTAGGGCAGTGTTCTCTTTTCTTAATCGTTATAATACTTTCAATTTTGTGGCTTTTATTTATGTACAAAGTGTAGCTTCTAGTGTGAGATCTGTTAGCTGATGTATCTATTTGGACATTTTTGCTGTGGTTTGGGGGGGGGGGGGGGTTGTGTGTTCTACTTGCGAACAGTCCAAGAACACCAACAACATTAAACATATTAATAAATGAAACAACTTAGGGTGTTGAGTTTATTTTTTTTTCAACGTTCTTGGAACATTTCCTGTGGGCTCATCCTCTCGTTTGATAGTGTTCTGAGTTGAGAATGAGATATTTCTTGAATACGGGGATGGTACAGCTGTATTGCCTCAGAAGTTGGTGTGGGTGGTTGCAGGGAGCTGGTAGTATGGGGCCCTGTGTTGTTTCTGTGTTTTGTGCCTCTGTTTTCCTGGATGATGTCATTGTGAGTGTGTCAATATCACCAGCGACATTTCCACAATCATCCGAGTTAATTTCTTGGAGTTTTCTGATAAAATAATTAAATTCGAATACAGACATTAAGGGATATCCTGCAATATTAATATAGTTGTGGGTAGTTGGTCGGGTGCTCTGGTTTGGTTTGCTCCTTCTTTCTTATCAAACATTTTTTTTTTTTTATCTCTCCTTCTTTTTGTGTTTATTACTTTCTTGTAACACCTCTAATTTTTTACTATGTAAATGTAAAAGAAAACATTTGTATAGCACAAATACTCCATTCTCTTTATAATCTATATTCGTGGCCTAATTGCTTTGCGAATGCTGAAAAACCCTCAACTACGACATAGGTTTGTTCTGTTTTTTTGTTTCATTGTGTTCTTCCAAGAATTCAATTTTAAAAGATAAGGAATACTCAAGTTATAGTTCTATACTGGGGGGTTTATTTTTCCTTAATTCTGTCAAAACTTCAAAAAATGACGTAAGCAGTTGTAGAATGACTCGAACAATATAACAAGAAGGTTTCTCTTTGACCGAGACACGTTTCTTCCTGTTTGTACCTCACATCCCCCCCCCACCTCCTCTATGTATATGTTACGTGAGTGGCTGGAAGGCACCACTGGCAGGTTCTACTTCTTCCCTTTCCTTGTGCTTTTTCAGCCTGTCTGTGGAGATGTTGCGTTGATAAGCTTCTCTTTTTTTACTTTCAAACTTGAGTGACTAATATGGTTAGTGTGTACATTAACTGTAAATTTAGAATAATATTCCCCCCCGGGGCAGTGCCACTGACTGTAGTGTCTTTAGGCCATTCCCAAAGGGGGGACATTTCTCGTTCAAGCACAGTAGAATTGTAAATGGACTGATTCATGTCATGCTCATAACTGCCTGATCTACAACAGGGAACTGAAGCTTTTTCTTTCCTAATCCTTACTATTGTCATTTTCCTCTACTTCTTTTGTATGTTTGTCACTCTCTTGTGACCTGCTATTTCCGGGGTGTCTTGATAGTCGAAGCAGACCTTGTGCTGTTGAAGCTAGAGAGGTGAGCAGAGTAAGTCTGATTCCCTGTAAAGACTTCTCTGTTGACACCCACCCCTTGGCGCTCATATGACCTTATGCAGTTGCTAGCGCCGTAAAACCCTCTACTATAAAAACTTGGGTGACTAATATGGCTAGTGTGTACATTACTGTAAATACAGAATGATAATAATTATTATAATAATAATGATAATGATAATAATAATAATGATAATAATAATAATAATAATAATAATAATAATAATAATATAATAATAACAACAACAATAATAATTCTGATAATAATGATAATATCAGTAGCAAGAACAGGAGGGTGCAAAAGGTGTAGCAAATGAACACAAAAACAGACAGAAATATAATGGCCGTGTTTAAAACTGTGTGTGTTTCACGTGTCGCGTGTGTTTGATGTGTGTGTATTTGTTTGTGTGTTCCCACCAGACGTGGGCACGACAGTACGGGGGTGACCGACCGCGTGGTCAACCAGTTCCTCACTCAGCTGGATGGAGTGGAAGGCTTGCAAGGTGAGACAGATTCTCTCCCTTTATTCCTCCTGCTGATTGCTCTGTCTCTCTTTTTTGTTTGTCGGCTTCGTTACTTTCTCCTCAAGGCAAATTGGTTAACCACTCCACCGTGGAGTGTAGAAGACCATTAGACTTTTACTAAACATAACAATTATAGTCAAATCTGTACTAACGACCACCTGTATAAGACAGTCAACTCCCCCCCCCCCTCCCAGGGCAGTGCTACTGATATGTCACGTTTCAAAATGGTGTAAGGCGGAGTCTTACATTGAGCAGAGGAGATGCTGACTCAGCATAAACCGCATCTCAACTCAACACCCCTTCATCTCATTAACAAAATACTTTTAAAAGATAGGTGGTTGTAGGGTGCTGTTGATAACCTTCTACTTCTCTCCCACACCTCAGCTGTTTCTGTCTCTCTTGCTTTATCCCAATATGTTGATGTTCTTATTTTAACTCACACAAATTCAATCAAACAAGGTGGGTGGTTGGCGGGTGCTCTGGTGTGGTTTGCTCCTTCTTTCCTATCAAACATCTGTCGTCCTTATCTCCCCTTTTTCTTTTTTTTTTGTTTGTTACTCTCTTGTGACACCTCTAATCTTCTGGCGCTCATATGACCTTATGCAGTTGCGAGCGCCGTAAAACCTCTACTAAAACAAAAAATCAAACAAGTCAGTGACGATTAAAGAGAAAAAAACCCAACAATAAAAAGCACCCACATTCAAACAAAAGGCAACAACAGCCAGCCCAGTGGCGTCTGTAGCCTCGTGGTTAGGCTACCGGACTCGTAATCGTGAGATTGCGGGTTCAGGGTTCGAGCCTCAGCTCGGTCCGACGTTGTGTCCTTGGGAAAGGCATTTTACACGAACTTCCCACTTGGCTCGGTCCTATCGGAGACGGACGTTATATTAAGAGGTCCCACCTCTTAAGTAACCTAATAGTGTTGATAGGGGCGTTAAACTCGTTCCATTTCATTTCACCAGTCCAGTGTTCTCGTGTGTGTACCTCCAGGTGTGTACGTGCTGGGGGCCACCAGCCGACCTGACCTCATCGACCCTGCCCTGCTCCGGCCCGGGAGACTGGACAAGTGTCTCTTCTGTTCCATGCCTGATGAGGTAAAGAAAGGGGAGGGAAGAAATAAGCAAGAGGGAGGGAGGGGAGAGAGAGGGAGGGAGGGGAGAGGGAGGGAGGGAAGAGGGAGAGAGGGGAGCGGAGAGGGAAGGAGGGGAAGAGGGGAGAAGGAGGAAGAGGGGAGAGGGAGGGAAGGAGGGTAGGGGAGAAGATGGGAGAAGGAGGAAATGTAGGGGGGGGGGAAGAGGGGAGAGGAAGGAAGGGTAGGTGAGAAGAGAGGAGATGGAGAAAATCGTAGAGGAGACGAGGGAATATGAGGAGAGGCGGGAGGGAAATTAGGGGAAGAGGGAAGAGAAAAGGAGAAGTGAAGAGGGGGGGGGGGTAGATGGGAGGAGGAGAGGAGAGAAGAGTGGTGGGGAATGAGAGGAGTTTGGAAAGAGGGGGGGGGGGGTTGTAATTTTGTATTTTCACAAATGGGAGGCTCGTGTCACTTCATGATAATTCTCTTCCGACAGACTTTCCATAAAGACTGGTGGTTCATTCACCCATTGAGCGGTGGCAGCATTTGTGTTCAGTTTGATAGATGATTAAATAAATAATTTACACTTTATTGTTCCTCGTAGGAAAGTTTTGCTTACAATGGCAAACACACATATATTCATACATAAATATTTAAACACACATATTCATAATACTACACCAGTCCAGACAATTTTACAAACATGCTGTCTCAGCTGTGACCTGATTTTTTTTTAGCTAAGGTTATCATGTTTTTCTGAAGAACACACCCCAGTGACCGCCCATCTAAACCCCATGTCTCCAACACTTGCTTGACATAATTTGTTAGTCTAATTTCACTACTCATTAGGCCACTGGGACTAAGGATTTGGGTTCCTGTTGAAATGTTGTCAACGATCTATGTGATAGAGTTGGATTCTCATGTTTGCTGGGATTGTGAGCCCTCTTGGTGTGTGACTTTGCTAATGATTATTACAGGGATGAAGACTGTATTTGTTATGATCATGATCAGTACATCAATGAGTCAATGGTCAAATTAATAATATACAAGGGTTTCTTTTTCTGTTGGCAGAGTGAGCGGGTGAATATACTGGAATCACTCACTCGCAAGATGACCTTGGCTCCGGATGTCAACCTTGAGGAAATAGCGAACATGTGCGAGCATTTCACCGGCGCTGACCTCAAAGCGTTGCTGTATAACGCTCAGCTCAAGGCCATCCACCAACAGGCTGACTCGTGCTGGGGACAGGACGCGGGCGTCGTCAGAATCAAGGGGGACGACGCCAAATGCGATATCCTCAGGAAGGCGTCTGTGATTCTGGAAGACGAGAACTTTGCCGCGGATCTGTCGCGGGCAGTGGAGAAAGCTATCTCCCCCGTGGACTCGATGAATAACTCGGTCGACGAGAGTGTGAGCACGCCGAAGAAACAGGTGAAACTGTCGCCGAGGGAGAGGAAGCAGGGTGTTATGCTGCACGAGACACAGACACTCGTCGGGGAGAGGCAAGGAGGTTTTGAAAGTATGCAGGTCACGGAAAAGATGGGAGACTTAAGGGTGGACAGTGGTCAGAGCAGGAAGATGCCTCCTAGAGTGGCCGCAGCGGACGATGGTGGAGAAGATGGTGTGGATGGGTTGGTGGAGAGGTTCCAGTTGGAGGATTTCTCCGCTGGTGGTGACAATGACGATGACGACACAATAAATGGCGGAGCTGCGTCTCCGTCTGATGACGTAGATGTCGTTGATGGTTTGCCCTCACCCATGGAGGAACAGGAGACGGCAGAAAGCTCACAGGCTCGCTCCTCTTCCTGGATTCCGATGGGAAGGAAAAGTGAGTCGGAAATGATTGTCAAAACACGACAACCAGAGGGAAACACAAACAAAATGGAGTACGAAACCTCCAATTCCATCAGTCATGCTGTGGAGGAATTTACCTCAAAAATGACGCTCCTGAATTCTGAAGCCCCCGCCCTCAACATTGCGATAAGAGTATCGGAGAGCTCCAACCCGGACGAAGAGAACCTTCCAGACTTTCCGGACCCAGCCAACACGTTCCCACCGGCTTCGGCCAAGCGTAAGCGAGGGTACGAGAGAGCACACAGCACCCCAGAGGCCGGCTCACTGACCGTGGTGAAGGACGTGCGGAGGAACTCCAAGTCTCCGTCCCTGGACAAGCCTGTGTCGGTTTTCCCGTCGCTGGAGCAAGGCTTGGCCGCTCTCACACCCGAGGATGAGGCCAGGTATCTGTTGATGGTGAGTAATGATAACAATGCTAATAACGATAATAATAATGATAATAATAATAGCTCGTCTGTTAATGCTTGACGATGACCAATACATCCAAAGAGGATTAGGCCAGATATCTGTTGATGGTGAGTAATGATAACAATACTAATAACGATAATAATAATAATAAATTAATAATAATAATTATGTTGTTGTTGTTGTTGTTATCGATCCAGCAACAGCTGGGCTCTCGCCCTTCTGTCCAATGCCATGTAGTGATTGATAAGTGCAGGTCTGCTGCAGTTGCTGTAATGTGTGTTGTCAATGTTAGGTTTCGGAGGGAGAAGGGTAGCTCTGATGTCATTTAAGGCTGTGCAGTGGAACAGGTGATGATCCATAGTCTCATATGCATAGTCACACAAGGGACACATTGGGGGAAGTTCCGGGTTTATTCTGTTCAGGTGGAAGTTGAGCTGTATATATGTTCTGTATAATAATAATGATAATGACAATAGCTCGTCTGTTAATGCTTGACGATGACCAATACATCCAAAGAGGATGAGGCCAAGTATCTGTTGATAGTGAATAATAACGATAATAATAATAATAATAATAATAGCTCGTCTGTTAATGCTTGATGATGACCAGTACATCCAAAGAGGATGAGGCCAAGTATCTGTTGATAGTGAGTAGAACTTTGCTTTTTGATTTCAGATACATGTAACTCTTTGAGGTCGCCATACATATATTGACAACAGGCAGTGAGCATATTGATAATAGTAGCAATTACCATCAAGGCTTTAGAGATCCACATTTATTTAGAGATGTCAATAAATGTGGATCTCTAAAGCCATGACACTTGTTGTTAATATTATCAACATGCTCATTGCGTGTTTTCAATGTGTATGGCTATTGAACACTTAGTGAAATGTGAAGGATCTCGGACATTTCATCTGGAAAGAAAAACTTGATTACAGTTTTAACATATAATTATGAATTAGGCTAACAGTTTAAAATAACTATATGTGTACTAACTAACATTATCATGTGCACCTTTTTCTACTAATCATATTGTAGTTTTAATTTGATTTTAAAAATGGCAATGGACAAAAAATAAATTTAAAAAAATAGTCTTTGAAGTGGAGCATTCTGCTCATTGTGCAAAGCTTGAAGATGCACAGCTGTTTGGGGGCTCTGGGAAATAAAAGTTGTAGAAGGGAGGATATACAGTAGAACCTTCTCTATAGGCCACCTGTTTTCTCTATAGGCCACCTGTATAAGACAATCACCTGTACAAACGGCCATTTTCCATGTCTCCACTTGCCAATTTTTACACGATATTGACACTGTGTAAGAGGGGAAGCTACTCTGCTCTCTGCGAAATATTTCTTTGTTCTGCCCCTTTATGAGCTTTTTAATCGTTGTGGAGAAAAATTGGGGGACGTGGTAGAACGAAGCAACCTCCTCTTTTATAAAGTCTGTGCTGTTTTCTCACACTGCAGTGTAATGGTTACTCTATTTTTGGTAAGAGATTTACGACACTTGCAACTCAATTAGGTGCCGAAGATTAGAGGTATAATCAGAGCGTGACATGCAAAGAAAAGAAGGAAAAGAAATAAGGATGATACTGATAGATGTTTGATCAGAAAGAAGGAGCAGACCGTACCAGAGCACCCGCCAATTTTCTAATTTTTTCTTTTTATAACGACTCGAATAATTTTTCAACTTTGACAGAGCAGATAAAACATTTGGTTTCTGACCTCATGATCTTAGTAACTTAAAGTTAATTTTTAGTAGAGGTTTTACGGCGCTCGCAACTGCATAAGGTCATATGAGCGCCAGAAGATAAGAGGTGTTACAAGATAGTAACAAACATACAAAAGAAGAAGGGGAGATAACGACGATAGATGTTTGATAGGAAAGAAAAAGCAAACCACACTAGAGCACCCGCCAACCACCCACAGTAACTGAAAACGGCCAACAATATGAGATAGAGCTTTGTCATTCTAGGGTAGCCAAGTTTTGAGGAATTCGACGTCAACGATTTAGATTTTCACGTCTCATATTCTTCCCCCCCCCCGAATGCATTTCTTTGAATATCTTGAATATATTAATGACTCTTAATAGTAGTCTTACAATTTTGATAGAGCAGACAGAGCATTAATTTTGGTGTTTTTGATTTCAAGGTCTTCGTAACTCAAAACGACCAAAAATGTCAGATAAAACTTTATAATTCCGAGGTAGCCAATTGTCTAAGCTGTGTCGATTGGGGAGTAAAATAGTGACAGTGGTCCTGATATCATGCTGCATAAGTTTTACAACTTTTGGAATAGTTCGAAAGCACGTTGCGGTTTGTTAGTGGGTGCTCTGGTGTGGTTCGCTCCTTTCTTTCATATCAAACATCTATTGTCCTTATCTCTCCTCATTCTCTTTTTTTTTTTCGTTTGTTACTCTCAATTGTAGCACCTCTAATCTTCGGCACTTATATGACCTCACTGTGCTGTAAAACTCTAACTTAAAAAAAAGAGAGAGAGAACACGTTTTGGCCGTCAACGTCAGACGGTGTCAGTGGAGAAAACAGATTGTTTTTTGTTTTTTTGTGGGGGTATTTTACGCCACCATCGACTTTACTTAAATAATCTAGGTTGTCAAGGAAACCCTGAGAAATTATAATGTCCCAACTGATACAGCTGCAAAGCCGGCCTACCATGGAAAACTGCATG